GATTTTCTTCATGATAGGCTGCTTAATAAATTGTAAATTTATTAGTTGTAGGCAGGCGTGTAGCCAGGAGGGTCTTGTCCTCCTCTTAAGCGTTTTAGGCCGTGCTCTCGCTGTGGTTCAAAATGTTTAAGGGGGGGTGGGGCACGACTCTTCTGGCTACGCGCCTGGTTGTAGGAGCTAGTATGATGTGAAAGTCATTCTTATCGCTTAAAATTGGACAATTGCTGATTTGCTAAGGTTTTGGAAAAATTCAAACATTATTAGAACTTGATTCAGCTTCTTTGTGATCTTATTCTCACACTATCTAGGAAATAGTAGCTATAGCAGATTATCAAACATATGAACCATAAGCACATTCCTTATTTCCATACTCCAACAATCAGAAATCATAATAATCTTGCCAATCGACCAGACAAACCATCAAAAATCCTTACCACAGACACAATAAAATGCCAAATCTGCAGATACAAACGTTTCAACTCTTATCAATTAAGTTGCACCTTTCTAAATTGCCACTAATATACCCATGTACTAATTGTGGTCACAGATTGTGCTAATGACATTTACGCTTTAGGCAATTAATATTTTTATAAAGGTAGAACAAGTGTTACAATTCAGATAAACAAACGAATTTTGATGAAAAGTGAAGAAGAGCGAAGGGTTGAACATAAAAAAGGTCCTTCAATAAAATGGTAATTAAATTCCTTTGAAAGCATATTCGTGGCTGTTCATATTACAAAAAGCTACTTCGGTTAAGTCGGAAAGATTACAAAACCATTCAATTTTTCGCTTCCCACTCATGGCATTTTCCCATTTTTATTAAAGTACGCATAAGTCAACATAGAGTAGCGGAATGAATGAATTCAATTTGAAATCTCTGACTAAGATGAAAATCAATGGTGACCGGAGACCTTGAGTAGGAAAAAAAAGTTGGAAAAGTTCATTCATGAAGATCTATTGAATACGTCGTTATCCTTATTATCATATTTCCTCGTATTTCTCTTGGAAATTCAAGTCACAAATTTAATAGGGAAAACTTTCTCTGCACAATATTCTTCAAATGTGTTCTAAACCGAAATAATTGCATAATTTTACTTCTTATTGATAGCTTGCAGTGTTCGATAATTGGGAAATCTATTCTAATACGGAATATTAGTTCAATTATCGAAACAACAGGCATTCGCTGTGGCTTAAATTTTACATTAACCAGAGACTCTAATTATGATGGCGTGCTGGTCACGGCAGTCATCAAATAAATCGGATAAAGAAAATTGAGGTAAATTCCCGAATCACATTTGATTATGTTACTTTTTGAATTAATACTTGATATAGAAATTCCTTTGAATAAAGATGACATCCCGTCAAGCATGGAAGACACGTAGCCAAGTTATGGCGTTTGATTCAAACTGCAACTTTAATTTAGACTGGTCCTTACCTTAATAACTTTTATAGCAATATACTTATCAATTTGCACTTAATAGCATGTCATTTGCAGGCAAAAGGCTTTCTTCCATACTTAACTACCTCAACTTAATCCAATTTTCACATTCGATTGAAATCTGAGATTGAATTGATTGCATAATAAGGTAATAATGAAATGTTCACATTTCAATCGCACGACTGTAATTCAATATCTCATAATCAGTGCTGGAAAGCAGAGCTCGAAGTCGACTCGAGATTTTCAAACTGCAAAATTTTCATCGATTTCGAACTGTGCTGGAAGGAATAAACAAAATGGAAATAAACGAAAAACAGCAAAACCTCCCTTCATGCGGAAAGCTTACATAATTAAATCTGCTATGACAATTTGAAAATTCCTTTCTTGTGTGCAATATATTAATGCGATTAAACAGTCTAACAGCTATGACATATAATAAGGAAAGGAAGCTCGCTCTTGTGGATTGAATTTAGAATATTGGCGGATGCTATACATATTCATAATAATGTAATTATTGGAAGTAACTGAATTATTAGGATTTCTCGCAGACAAAAATCTTTTTTAAAGAAGCTTCTAGATTTATGATTGTTGTCTTCAATAAAGCACTTATCAGACAGTCCAACTGAAATGAAGCAAAGGAAGCACAAAAGCTTTTCATGCTCATAAGATAAAACAATCGAGGATTTTCGTCAATTTTCCATTTCAATTGAAACCTTAAACATTTTCAAATTTCCTTTCTGTGTCTATAATAATTCATTGTGCCTAACCAGAACAGCTTCAACAATGAGTATAAAAAATATTTCAAAATAGAGAAAAGTAGGTCATTGATATCATATCACTTATTCCAATGGTTTCAAAATTCATTGAAACGGAAATATTAAATATAACGAATAAATTAGAATATTGAAGGATGTGCTCAATGTTTGTATGATTTCAAAGATAAACATACATTTTGACACCCGAAGGTATTTTCTGCAGCCATAAATTTTAAATTCGAATATCATCATTTTGTTGTCAATGATGTTTCAATATTGAAATTTTATTAAATACTTGAATGATGCCTTGACACTTAAATGCCATTGATATTTCATCGACTATTAAAGATTCAGGGAGTCGATGAAAAGCTGATGGATGAGGGAAGAAGAAGAGAGTTTTTGAGTTTCAAGAAATTTAATAACGAGCTTATTGAGTAAGTTCTGAACCCACATGATCATTATATGTAAATTAAACATCCTTATTGCTGGTTCAATTTATAATTCCAACTGAAACTAAGGACACCATTTTTTAACAATCCTTTTCATAGAAGTCTACAAGTATTTCTAGTCAATGAAACTTTTTTCTTCCAATGTTATGAAAACATGCACAAAAAACAAAACAGAAGAAACGTAATAGGGAGAAGAAACATTCATTCATGAAACGCTCACGTAACCTTTAGTATGGTTCACTTGAAATATTGATTGAAAAGGGTCATTGGTAAATGATATCTAAACTTTAAAGAGGAGATATGCTGTTGAAAAGGATTATTTATAAGCGGAATCTATCAACTTTAAACTTAACATCATTTATGAATCATCCCCAAAGGATTATTCAGCAAGAGTTTAACAATGTAGACATAAAGTATTCATCTCCAACATAATCTTTAAATTTAATTGGCTTTATTCGATTAAATGAGTTTTTGATGAAAAGGATCAGTTCTATTAAAAAGGTTAAAGGCGTAACATGATGCAATCGATGTGAAGTCTATACTTTTAAAGGTCAAGACCTTGAATTGTTGCGAATGTTATAATTTGATATGCAGTTGAGGATTATTTATTGCTTGATACATGAAATCAATTCAACCTTCTTTTTTAATCCTCAATCGTGCTGCATTTTCCCGACTTTGTGTCGTCTTCATCCTTTTGAAATCTCATATCATATGCTGCATGTTCTTTTGACTTTTCTCAATAATTGAGATTATCTTTGAAAGCTGAATTAATCCACTAAACTAGTTTACATTCTTTTCAAACAAAGAAGACCTTTAGTGATTAAAAAGAACTTATTGAACGAGATTAAAAAAGTGGTAAATTACTTGAATGAGCAACTTAATAGGATAAGAGAAATATTATGAAGATTCCGAAGAGTATACATTGTTATAAGAAACAATCTTGACCTACTCATGATTACAGAGTATTACAATTTCATAATGTGTAAGATAGTTTTGGATATTGATGATCAACAATGTTTTTTCTGAAGAATTACTATTTTTTATGATGTAGGTTGATCTTACGTGTATTATTAGTCATAGTTTCCTCAAAATACCTTAAAAAAAGAAAGTTCTAGTAAAATCACCTTAATTCTTTCAAGGTTAATCTATTTTCACCAGTGTTGCAAATGTAGATGTCTACACTAGATGAAGAATGTAGATTCTTCAATAGTTTTTGTCTAGCTAAGAAACTTTCTTCATAAAGATCGATTCTTCATGAAGATAGAAAATCTAATCTACACAAACATTTTTTCCAGGTCTACATTAGAGAAGAATGTAGAATTGTAGACATCTACATCGAATCTTTATGTAGAAATAATGTTTGTGTAGATTAGATTTTCTATCTTCATGTAGAATCGATCTTTATGAAGAAATTTCTGTCTCAGAATTTATCTGATCCAGACAAATGGCCAGAATGCAACACTGATTTTCACTAAGAATTAGCTTAATTCATAACAAAATAATTGAAAATATTTCGTTATTTCGATAAAAATAACACTGATTGTAGAATATTCAAGATTAATGACAACACCAATAAACCTATTGAGCTGGAAATTCTCATATTTTTTCACAATTCATTAAATTCTGACAGAAGCATATCGTCCCCAAGTTTAATTGTTTGAAGCTCAATATCTCTTGAAATTCATCAGAATAATAAAAAAAAAATATTCAATTTTTGGAACTTTATAATTGCAATTTCAGTTCATGAGAGATTATGAATGTTTGAAAACGGTTCTGTGGAAGTAAATGTAAGAAGATTATGGTGGTAAATTTGAAATTAAATTGAATTTGAATGAATTGAAATTAAATCAATTTAAATGATTATTAAAATATTATCATGAAATCACAATTCTCTTTAAACTTACTAACAACATATTTCCTCTAAATACAAAAGTTCCGCATCTGTTTAATGCTACCTGTTGTTTAACCAAAGCTAAATTTATAAAATATCGAGCAAATTGTGTGTTTTTGACGAATCTACAACCCTCACATTCCTTAGACAAACTTTTAAAAATAAATATGCATCTGTCAGACTATTATTTACTTCCAACGTGGCAGTAACTGTAGCCAATAAAATAACAATTTATAAACAGTAAAGTTTCATCAATAAAGCTCATTGACATACAAATCGATATAATTTCACATTCAGTTACAGACATAAAGCTCTTTGTCTTTGGAATATTTCTTTAGAAATCACTTGTTCGTTATAATTTATTACTGCATTTGAATTTGAAGTTTTCATCAACACAGTTGCAATCAATAGACTCAATTGTTAAGAAACGTGATTACTAATTCCAGTCCTTAATCATTTCATTTCAGATTTACGTACAGCTTTTGACTTATTAGACCGAGATCAAGATGGAATGGTGACACCAACAGAATTACAGTTTATGTTAAATAATTTAGGAATTCACGTGAGCGATGAGTTGATTGATGGACTCATGAAGGAAGCAAGCAAAACTGGTAAGTCTGGAAAAGAATTTTCACAAACGTGCTACATGCTATATCTGTAACTGAAAACCTCATGAGATGATTGCAAAAAAAAAGTCATTTTAGATATGAATCTATCACGTTTCCAATTCCTATTTTTTTCATCATCATCGTCTATGTGTGGAATGAAATTCAATCGTTCATTATATCATAAATGTATGAGGAGCTTTAAAAAAATGAAATAAGTGCAATTGATATCACAAATATTAAATATAAAAAGAAAGAGTCCTCATACAATGTAATGAGTCGTAAAAATGCTCTTATCTCGATGTGCACAGTATGTACAATTCTGATCAACTTTAAACGATATTTCTCTTTCTGACCTTGCCTTTAGGGTTGTAAAAAAATTAAATTATTATAAGGATATAAAGTGCAATGAGCTTTTTATGGTTGAGTTGTGAATTAAGATGGTTTGGGCATTAATTTCAATAATTTAAGGGTTGCTATGGATGTAATAGAATATTATTTTGAATAATTTAAATGCTTTTAAATCGAAAACATTTAATCTCATTTGAATACCAATCAAAACATAATTTAAGCACTTAAAACTACTCTAATTATTAGAGAAGATTGCTTTCAAAGTTGGTAATTATTAAATTGGCACAAAATTTGTCTTTTTAAATTTCGGTGTTTGGTTACAAAGGATTTGACTTAATTTTTGCACCTTCTGAGAAGCTATGAGGACCAGTCAAAGTCAAAGTCGATGCCATCAAAATTTAATGATCTCTAGTACAGTGATGGTCAACCCATGTGCCGTGGTACACTAGTGTGCAGCAAAAAATTCCATGAACTGTATGCTGTTTGGGTCATGGCTTTCCATCAAGGTATGTCGTGGCACAAAAAAGGTTGGGCACCACTGCTCTAGACTATATATTTTCAAGTATAGCTATGAACTCGATTCCTCAATATTAAACTTAATCTCAAGAAAAAAACCATAACAACAATACCAAACACTGAACTCACAACTTATTGTGTTCAATATATAACATGAATTCCTTTATTTGTTGTCAATACATCTCAACATATTGTGCATACATAAAGGTGAACTGTAAATCAATTCCGTTCTTATATTACATTCAATTTCCTTTTAGTGGTTTGCAATAAAAAAAAAGTTTGTCAATGACAGTTTATTGATATTAAAAGGAACACATTCAGAATTTGTTTTTTTGTTGTCATGACAACGCTGCGAAGCATCTGTGAGTTTCCGTTTTTCAGCCACCTTGACCTCATCACAAATAAAAGAATTTTTTCATTTCCATTCCTTTTGACGCTTTTATGCAACATAGAAATAATATTTTATAGCTTGATATTTGTAGTGCAGTTACAAGGGAAAAGCATAGATCATAAATTTACATGAAAGAATGAGAAAATTTGAAACGAATGAAATAAATTCTCACCTTTCGTATTTCCTATTTTTCATCATTTTGAAAAATGCAATTTGAGCTTAACGTTCAGGATTCGTTCAGTTTTTGTCTACAATTTAAGGAATCAGGTCAAGAGCCAAGGGTTAATTTTATATAAACCTAAATCATTGTTTCTCAAACTATGTTTCGCGGAGCTTTGTTATTTCCCGAGAAAATCCCCATCTAGGGGTGAGGGGGTCAACAAGAAAAGAACAATAGAAATTCCTGGAAATTCATTGTTCTTTTTTGAAAAATAACCGTTAATTTTGGACATCATAAATGAACGCATCCTAGCCAGTATGGCGCAGGAAGAAAAACGAAGAACCTAATTAATGACATATAATTGAAAATTCATGTCTCAGTGCTCCCTAACAGAAGTACAACCCCAAAACTCCTTTGAGTGAAACCTTTCATTGAGAAAATTGTTTGGCGTTAAATTTCCTTTCAAATAGCAAAATGTCATTAAATTTTTTTGCATTAAAAGAAAAGCGAGAACTTCAAAGACCAATGCTGATGTTAAAACGGAAAAAAAACGTTAAAAAAACTTTTTAAAAAACACGCTTTTATCAAAAAGACTAAAAATCAAAAAGTTCAAAATAAAATAAGGTCACACTTTTAGCGAATCAGGATTTTAAAAATTTTCTTGTGACAACTAGAAATGTAACATAAATTTTTTTCAAAATATTGTGATTAAGTCCAAGAACACAATGACTCTATAAGCGTGGGGCGTAATTTAAGGATGCATTTCTTAGTTCAACTAAGTTCTTAAGTAAGAGAAGCGTCAAATCTCAAAGCCCCACGCTTTTCGAGTCATTGTGTTCTTGGACTTAATCACAATATTTTGAAAAAAATTTATGTTACATTTCTAGTTGTCACAAGAAAATTTTTAAAATCCTGATTCGCTAAAAGTGTGACCTTATTTTATTTTGAACTTTTTGATTTTTAGTCTTTTTGATAAAAGCGTGTTTTTTAAAAAGTTTTTTTAACGTTTTTTTATTTGCTACTTTTTAGTCTCAATCTTTTAATCGAATATCGACCACAACAATTCAAATTCAACTCCACTTCGTTTCGTTCAACTTTTAATATATTCCCATTTTTTAATGGGTAATTAGTAACGACTGTCAGGATTTTTCATTCGTTTTTATAATTTAAGTCATACCTGGAAACACATAAAACTCTTCCAAAAAATGTCCTGAACTTCAATTATGTGCGTTTTCTGTGTTTTTTAAAACATTCATGAGTAAAGAACATTAAAAATCAATCGTAAAGATTTTGTGTTTATCCGTACCATTCCTATTACATAACGTGTGGATTCTTAACATAAAGATGCAAATCACATCTATATGTACCGTATTTATAACGGATTTTTCAAATTTAAATTCAATGAATGTCATTCATATGTTATCCAAAATTACGTTAAGCCGATAATAAATAGAAGTCAATTTAATTAAATTGGTGAAGTGCTATAAATATTGTAATACATTTAAAACAGCATACGTTTATGCTCAAATTATGTGTGCTAAATGCACATCACATATTGATAGTAATTCTGCATTAATTCGTAACGGACTTGTGATTAACGGTTTTTTTGAAAATTCAAATTTTCACTTACGAATATTCATGAAAAAATTACTTGTCAATTTTTTCATCCTCCCAGAAAATCTTTAGCTTCTCCAATTATTAGTATTATTAATAATTAGTAATATTAATTAAACTATAGTGAATCATATAAATGACTTTTGAGCATTTCAAGTATAATATTTTAAACAAATCAAAATTTTATATCATTGACATTGGATTTTTTTCCCATATAAAAAAGTTTTATTAAAATTGTACTATAATTAAGCATTTGTGTGGTTCTAAAGTGTTAAAATATTGTATTGTCACCGGGAATACGTGTGTATACAAAATTTGAGCTCGATTGGAGCAATAGAAGTGGTCGAAAAATCGATTGCAAGATTTGAACGTGACATACAAAGAAACCAACAGAGCAACTCAATAAAAAGCGTGTAATAATAATAAAACTAGTAAAAAGATCGCCAGTACTTTGGATCTGGGCGACTTCAGCGTATTTTCCTCTTACTGATCAGTAAACTTAGTTGTAACTCAAAATCGTTTGAGGGCCTTAATTTTTCGTACCAGATCTTTAATAGTTCGTTCCAGATTTTTATTTTAAAGATCTGGTAGCATTTAAAACATGTCCCGTATCAAAAACATAAATTCAGTAGCTCTACAGTCATAGTCAACCCCTAAAACAAAGATCCAGTAGCTTTACATTCACATCCATCATTAAAAATAAAGAACTAGTAACTCTAATGTCATATCCAACACCAAAAACTAGGATCCAGTAACTCAAAACTCATATCCAACACCATCAACAAAGATCCCATAACTTCAATGTCATGTCTAACACCAAAAACAAAGATCCAGTAACTCTAATGTCATATCCAACACCAATAACAAAGATACAGTAACTCTAGAGTCATATCCAATCCCAAAAACTAAGATCCAGTAACTCAAAACTCATTTCCAATCCCAAAAACTAAGATCCAGTAACTCTAAACTCATATTCAACACCATCAACAAAGATCCAGTAACTCTAATGTCATATCCAACACCTATAACTAAGATCCAGTAACTCAAAACTCATATCCAACACCATCAACAAAGATCCCGTAACTTCAATGTCATGTCTAACACCAAAAACAAAGATCCAGTAACTCTAATGTCATATCCAACACCAATAACAAAGATACAGTAACTCTAGAGTCATATCCAATCCCAAAAACTAAGATCCAGTAACTCAAAACTCATTTCCAATCCCAAAAACTAAGATCCAGTAACTTAAAACTCATATCCAACACCATTAACAAAGATCCAGTTACTCTAATGTCATATCCAACACCAAAAACAAAGATCCAGTAGCTCTTTAGTCATATCCAACACCAAAAACAAAGATCCAGTAACTCTAATGTCATATCCAACACCAAAAACAAAGATCCAGTAACTCTAATGTCATATCCAACACCAATAACAAAGATACAGTAACTCTAAAGTCATATCCAATCCCAAAAACGAAGATCCAGAAACTCAAAAACTAAAATCCAGTTACGTTACATGAAGCAACGTTCAAAATTTTAACGGCTATTTTGAAATTTGAAATTGTTTTATCAAACTCGTATGTTATGCAAAAGTCGGCTAAGTCGTTGCAAAAAACATAAAAGTTAATTTAATTAAGTTTTGGTAAGAAGTTATGAAACATAAAGCGGATTCGGTTTGCCTACAATATGGCAAGGATTGAATGCAAAAAATCCGAAGGCTCTATATGCTTTCATTGCTGAGATCTCACGGTACCAGCCAGCCAGCCAGCCAGCCAGCCAAAGTGAAGATAAAAGCGTATTGTTCCTTAGGAAAATACGCTAAAAAGCGTGTAAATAAAAAAGTCACTTTGAGCAGGCAATAATAGTGCAAGAGGTTTTATTTATTCTTTTAATTGTAAAGACTTTAGCTTTGATAAATGATTTTAAAAGAAATTTATGACTTCAAGTTTGACTCTTGATAAAGTTTCCTTTAATCTGTGAGCTGTGGATTATTTGCGTATCATTATTATAATGCAGAGGTTTTCAAACCTTGTTAAGGGTAATTTGAGAAAGTTTTTGAGTATGAGTCTGTCAAATTCTGGTACACGTGTTCTATTGACTTGTTTCATTGTCAAAACAGTGTTTTTCATGACACAGTAAAGCTGCCTTACTAAGGATTTAATCGTGCATCCTTAGAATTTACGTCTTAGATACATCACAGACTTTAATTATCAATAGAAAACCTAAACCAGCTTAACATTGAAGAATTAAACACGTGATTCAGTATAGATAAAGCATATCAATACTCCCCATACTGAATATCAACACTCAACAAAGTAAATCCTCTTCAACTCTTATTTTGTAGCTTGATAATCTTTTAAAGGAAATCGAGAGCGATTAGGAAAATAGGAAAGAAGTCAATAAAATTACGGAAAGGAGATAAATAATAAATTTTCAAGTACTTTGTTATTGAATGTTACAAACTTTAAAGTCGATAAGAAGTAAAGAAAAATCGATTAATAAAATTCACAGAAAGTATTTGCTCCAAACTGCTATAATTCCTATCTTTATGTTTACTTATCACCCCAGTCGTTAATTCCATTGATTATTCACTGGAAACCGCAAACGATAATAGACCAAATATTTACCTTGAGGGGGTTCGTTCGATTGATGGATGACATAAAAGTCATTAATAACCTATGTAAAGTGATAATGTTTATGGCAGTAAAAGTTTCTTTATATATACTGGGGGTCCTCGATTTGAGTAGATTCTATTTGAGTAGATTCGATTTGAACAGAAAATTTTTTACCCACCAAAATATTCGATTTGAGTGGATTTCTTCCTGTTTTCTTCGATTTGAATTGTTTACAAAACAAATATTTTTGATAAAAACATTTCAGAAAATATTTTTAAACATAAATTTTTCTGCCATAAGTGTGAACTTATCATATTGATCGAAAAATCAATACTAAAGTTACAAAATTAAAGTAAAAATTTAAAAAATCGATATAAAATTAACGGTTTTAAAAAGTTCAAATTCAAAAACCCTACAAATTGTTCGGTTAAATAACATTTGCAAGGTTCTCATATTTTTGTTTTGCTTCAAAAACATATTTTTTGTGAATTTCTGTTTAAAAACAATATGAATATGCGTTGAAATAAATTAAGTTATCTAAAACACATAGGTAAAATTAAGAAAATAGGTAAAATGTGCAAAAAATTATCAAAATTTTCATTGTTTTGATACATTTTTTGGACTCTGGAACAAAACATGTGATTTTGTATGGATTCTTTGCCTCGATTTGAATAGATTCGATTTGAGTAGTAAATTTTTTGGAACAAAACAACTACTCAAATCGAGGACCCCCAGTAAGCATGCACAGTGACTCATATTAATGCTTAATGGATAAAATTTGCGAGGTTAAAGCTCTCTTTGTATATTTCATTTCACTTCTTATTATGCTGTATTCGAGAAACTTCAAAGGCTTTGCTTTTGATTTTTATTGGATGCGGGTATGAACAGCTATAGCATACACACATATTCATGAAAAGGAATGTTGTTCAAAAGTCTTTGCATATTTGTTGAGTTGAATCTTGTTGAAAACCTTTGAGCTTTTCACATCAAAAGTCTGCGAAATTTAAGTAAACAAAAATTTTTAATTACTCTCTTTTGCAGGTAATGGATTAATAGATGAAACAGAATTTCTTCAATGGATTAGTCGAATACAAGCACTGAGAGAGAGTCCAGGAGCAGTAGCCGAAGATGATGATCTCACGCAAGACCTAGTGGCTGCTTTTAGGTATGAAACTTTACAACCTTTGAAAAAAACACCGCTAATAATTAACTCAAATATTTTAATACTCTGATAAGAAGTTGTTATCTAGAGAGGGGAAATTGGAATCGTAATATTTTAAGAATCGAATAAATATTATTTGGGAATTTTTGTTAAAAACAGGTGGCGTTTGAAGGAAAGTTTATTTCATGATAACAGCTATAGAACTTAGATCTAGTGATATTTAAAAACTTTTAAAAATAGGTTTCTAATGATGATTAATAGGATGACGAGATCTTGCATGTCATACATTCTGAAGGTAGCTAAGAAGATATAGGGACTAAATTAATCATGGCTCATGAATTTAGATTAATAACAACGATGTTTATTCTTCGGTGATTAAAAACATACTAAAATATTTCTATGAAAGGGCTATCAATTGTACAAGGAGACATCAACTAATTGTAGTCATATACATAATTTGAATATGAAGTAACCGTTAACATTTACTCAACAGAAACTTTTAAGAACATCAATCTTTGCCTGTTTAAAAAATATTTCGACTTTAAACCAAAAATTGTCTGCCTTACCAGACATCCACGACATTATAAAGCCCAATTATTTACGTCTTAACAATGTTCAAATTGAATTAATAAGAAAATTAACTTATCTGACTGTTGAAATTTCACTGATTGCACAAATAAGTTACTTATCTGACTGCTAAAATTCCACTAATTGCATTAAAATTGGTAATCACATTCCTGACATATTTATGGCTACTTGTGCAATCTTAATTAATTTAACGTGTCATTACGATAACAACATTTTATTATTCATAGAAATGCAATAATAGCTATTTAAAGATTCTTAAAATTATTACAAGATTCTTACATAAATTATATTTTTGTGACAGAAAATTCATGCAAGAGACTATTCATAATATTTTTTTATCCCGAAAATAGATTACGAATAGAAAATGTTTTTATAGAAAAATAATAATAATTGTACTTAGAAACATAATCATTACATGCGCGAATAGCACAAGTCGGTTAATCGAATAGCAATCCGACATGACTTTTGCATGCTGCTGGATTCGACTTAAATCTAGCACCGTTCCAGAGTCACACCAGCTTGGTGCCATTCTGGATAATAAGCGCCAGCTTAATACAGGTTTTTAAGGGGTGTTCGGGCCATCACTTTACTATGCAAAGACAAATTATATTTGTAACTTAGCTAGCTTTTGATACTAGGGTTTGTTAAACTGGGTAGCTTTAGAAACCAGTCTTTTGGAGTTGTATGACACGATCTTAACTATATCCCGAGTGGACAAAGTACTAGTTAAAAGCTTGCCATTGACTTGTCTGCTCATGGCGAGTAAGTTTCCATTGACGTGCCTTCGCAACTAGACTTAGGGACGACTAATGACATATTTTGCGCTTTCCTTTTAACTCGACATAGGAATTGCACTTATGTCTAGTTATTGTCCAGTTACATTAAAGTACACTCACACTTATGAAAAATCTCTAGTAAAAATTGAGTCTCGAACACTTGCGCGTGAAAAAAAATTGAGAATTGAAAATTATTTTTGAGTTTCGAGCACTTGATTGATTAGCATGAATGTCCAGTTAAAGTCTAGTAAACGTGTAGTTCTCTATGTTATTTAAATTTCGGCAAGTTAAAAGACTGTTAAATGATTGTCCAATAATGGACTTTAACTGGCTGTGTCCACCCGGGTATGGCTTACAGATTATGCATTTAAGTTAAAATAAGCATAACAAAGTCTAAAATTCACAATTTTAATATTACGCTATGTCCAAATGATCCCTCAAACATCTTCTACACAACATCAATAAAGAAAATAATTGTTAAATCTTTATAATTCCACAGAGTTTTTGATAGAGACAGTAATGGATACATAACACGTGATGAGCTGCAGCGTGCAATGCAAATGATTGGCGAAACTGTTACCGATTCACAATTAAATGACATGCTTGCACTTGCAGATCTTGATAAGGATGGTAGAATTAATTATGAAGGTTAGTTATTGACAGTATGTCACTATCATTATGCAATTGTTATCTTTATTAGCCTTCAATTCATTTAATTGATTTATATATTTTTTCTATCTTTTCAGAATTTGCACGATTGCTGTTGTAAATTGTTGTAAGAATGGATAATTTAATTCATGTCCTTAATTATATTAAACACCAAAGAAGAAACTCAAAAAAATCAAAAAATACGCAAATTTATGATGTGAAAAAAACCCTTTTTTAATAATGTTTTATGAAGAATTTTAATTTGTTAATTTTTATTTTGCTTATTTATGAATTTTTTTTATGTACTTCAATTCTTCCTTAAATATCTCATTGTATTGAGTTTATTCAAGAAGATTGTTAATTCATTAGAATGTAATTTACACTATATACAAATAAAGAGTAGTCATAGATTGTATATTTTTGAACAAAAAAACAAATGGTTACTATATTCAAGTTGTAAGGCTTGTGCACTGCAGGATTTTAGAATATTCTTCTCATATAATCGGTTCTTTATTAGAATATATGAGGTTAAAAATTGGATAGAGACTATGAAACTTTCATTTTAATATGAAAAATAGCAAAAATAATAATACTAGTTGATATTAATAGTGTTGAGAATATATTAACGGTTATTACTACGTTTTTTTGTTAACAAAGTTCCTTTGAATAGTTTATTTCCCCTTGAATAGTTGTTTGCCCCTCCTTCATAGAAATATTTAATCTGTTTTTGATCACTGAAGAATAAACATCGTTGTTATTAATTTAATTCCATGATAATTAAGTTTATTAATAAATTAGCATTGAAATTATCAAACCAACAAATAGCTTTCAACTCGCACATGGCTACAAAGAAGAACATACCTAAAGTTCAGTATCCTTTAAAGATAGATCACATCAGTCTTAAAAATCGTGACTATATATATCGTTTTCCCAAACATAATTAAAAGTTAACCGAAAGAACACAATATTATATTGACGTCAAATAATTTTATCCTGCACGTCCTGCAAAATCCTCTAGAGTCCGTCTAAAAATTCATCAAACATACAAAATCAATTCGAGTGCACGAGTCTTACTTGGAGAAGCATATTTATTAATATTTAAGTTGATTGACTGGAAAATAAAGGTTTTCGAAAAAAATTTAACAAAAAAAATATAAATTTGAACACGATAATAAGTTTATTGGATATAATTCAATAAGGAACGCTTTTTATTAAAAGAATGACTTTATTTTTAACACACTTAATCAGATGAGAATAAGAAGAGTGCAATTTAAATATTAATTCAAGTTTAATAAATGAGATTAAGAATTAAATTTGAATATCATAAGGGGATCATTTGCTAATGACGTCTGTTGAAAAATGGGGTAATGTGAATCCAGACTATCACTATTAGGGGGTAGTTTAGGTGGGTTTCATAAAGAGATGGGATTGGCTGTTGGCAGTGGTCAGTATTGCTTGAAGCACCCTACCCTAGATTCTAAAATTGATGTTTCTCATTCTTGGGTTAAGAATATTTGACTGTGACTAGGGTTGGTCCCAGGTATTTTTGTATTTGTTTCTCTTGTCTAACCTAGATTATGATCTCTCTTAAGAGGTCTAAGATTAACATTTCCTTCTTGCCTCTCCGCCTTTCCATTGACGGACGTCATAAGGTAATTATCCCCAAAACTATTGTTACGCTTGTTGTATAAAATTATACAATATTAATTAATATTTCATGAATTATAATGTTGTATCATAAACTACATATAAAATTTTTGGAATGTTATTTAACTCGGAATTCGAAGAATAAGAAACAAACTTTCAAGAAAACAAAGAAATTCGGAATAAAACTGAATAATGATACAAATTTAAACGAAGAAAACTTTTTTGTGTGTTTCTTTTGAGTAATTTTCCTCGAAGGATGTTCAGCATGTTGCCTTATTCTGTTATGAATTTGAATTATTTGAATATTTATGAACAAATTTCAGAGCATCAAGTCGCTTTTTTGTCAACAAACGTTAGCATTCATAGCTGTTGATGTTATTAAATTTATAAGTTTTAATGCATTTAAACCTCAAAGCAACTCCAAACATCTGCAAATTACTTTGAGTCTTGAAGTACTGATGGGGATATTTTGCGAATTTTGTCCATAGAAAGTCTTCAATTAAATCTAATCGTCAGTGTTAAAAATTAAAGTCATCGCAAGCGTACGACTCCCATTATGTCAGCCATGAAATTTGCAGCACAGAAAATTTCCACTTTTGTTTAATTTGTTTTTCAGTCATCATCGTGCATTGAAATGGTTGGTTTAAAACTTTTTGTTTTTTCACTTCTCATGTGGTTGGAGCTCGGTAAATCAATAATTGTCAAAAAGCTACATTTGCGAAATTTCTTCAAATATTTGGACAGCAAATGAAGCTTTTTTGTCATATCTAGCATAATCAATCTATATATTTCAGCTCTATCTGATGTCATGTATCCTCAACATCGAGAACATTTCATCAATCCACTTAGTCATTTTCCAATAGATCCACAGCAATTCATGTCATCAAAACCTATATTTGATCATTTCCAACACACTTTGTTAAATAATCAAAACCATGAAAATGATCAAAGCGAAATGAGAAAATCCAGCTTTATTAATTATGGCAATGCTAACATGCAGCAGGGAATAACTCAATATGGATATGGCAATATGAATCTGCAGGGAAATATTCAGCAAGTTTATACATCAGCGGGGCAAGCATTTCGAGATGAGGATTTGGAAAAATAATTTTTTAATTTCGTAGCAATTTTGGGGAAGGGATTTATTCAGCCACTCCAATGCATTGTTGAATTGTGAATAAATTGAATTTATATGCCAATAAATAATTATTTTGGAAATAACTTCAACTGTCTCGGGATTATTTTACTATATGCAAAAGGTTTAAGCTTGGTTTGAGTAAGTTGTAGGATTTTAGATGCTAGCAGTTTTCACCAAGCAATTAATTATTTAAAGTCTTTCATAAAATGTCATTAAGCTTTCAGTACTTCTTCAACCAACAATCCTCGATAAATCAAAAACCTAACAAGATAACTTCTTATACATAGGAGTTCAATAAGTATTCAAACTTATAAATTATACTTTATTATAACCAGCAACACTAATCGTTTGATTAATTGATTTATAATCAAGTTGTTACTAATTCATGCATTTCAATCAAATTAATAAATGTCACTATAAATTCATTATTTTTCATTTATTGCTTTTCAGTACAATCAGTAAATTCAAATAGGAAGCAGAATGAAGTTACTTTATGTATTACTAGTTTTTGCATTATGCATTAATATGTCATGGAGTTTTGATGGCTCCTCAAGACAGTTATTTGCTATTGATGGTCCACTTTATGTCGATTCTGCAAGTTTGAGACCGGCAGTTTTAACTCGTATGTATAAAATTTTTGGTTCCTCCTTGTTCGGTTTGCAGAGTCATTTAGCATAGGTTTAAGATACTTGGTCTAGTCAAGATTCCCTTGCTACGCGATTAGGTTTACAACAACTTCAAGTTTAAACCTTTACAGTTATCAATATTCAATAATTAACATTAATCAATTTACAGATGTTTCATCCAATAAGAGAGCTAACTTCAACCAAGTAAATATTCCAAGTAATTTTCAAAAATCTACTAAAATCCAATTGATATTTTCAGAATAACCCCGTGGATTTTAAAAGTCTTCAAGCACTAAACTTGTTGACTAGATTGTTAAGAATTCATAATGACCCACAAACAAGTTTCCAATTAGACACTGTTTTTGCTCAAAATCAGCCAATACAAACAAGTCAAAATGATCAAAATAAAAGATTTATTGTCATCAATAAGACTCCTTACACTCAGAATGATTTAATGCAAAAGCTTCAATTCGATCAAATGAATGCACAAAGAGATCAGTTGGGAAGTATCATCCATAATTATAAAGTAAACACTGTTATTCCTCATGAACGTGTTGTGAGAATTTTTTCAGTTCCTATTGTTAAAACCTTTCCTGTTCATGATGTTCCACAAATGACTCACTTTACTGACCTTGATGAGCTTAATGCACAAATTGATTTTTTGCATCAAAAACAACTTGAAAAGCTTAATGGACACTCTCAAAATGATCTCATGCAATGGCAACAAAATCAACAGCTGTTTCAGCAGAATCCATACACCCAAAATGATTTTCTGAATCCATTTGTGCAAAATCAGCACACAGCTCCAAATTTCAATGATATTTTAGCTGCACAAAGCTTCCAAAACAATCCAATAAGCTGGCAGGTACCGTTCGGATTGATGCCAGATGAAGATCGCAATGATCAGCAATTACAAGAATTCGGTAACAATTTCCAAAATGATCAATTTCAAAATTGGCAAGGAAATTCCCAAGCAGATCAGTTCCAGAATTGGAATGGAAATTCACAAGCAGATCAGTTCCAAAATTGGCAAGGAAACGCTCAACAAGATCAATTCCAGAATTGGCATGGAAATGCTCAACAAGATCAGTTCCAAAATTTCTTTGGACAACAACAAAATAGTCAACGACAGAATTTTGGCTCATCCAATGACTTTATCAGCGATTTTCATAATGATGATTATAACTAATATATAAGTCCTAATCAAAGGTATATTAGGGATTAATAAAGTCAAGTAGAGTCCAACCTGAAACAAAACCTTTAAGCATCTGTGAGGGGTACGTCGGGTATTATGATATGCCTTCCCTCTCATCTCATTTCTGAATAAGTCAAAGATGTCCTAGATCTAATCAAATATTTAAGACATCAAGTCTATAAACTTCTTTCCAGCACAATGAACAGAATTTATTACATCCTTCACATGACATCTTCAAAATCAATCCACAGAGTCCCCAAAAGCTTCAAATCAACAATTTCAAATATTTTTCAGAACTGCTGTTATTTTTGTAATTTTTATATTTCAGCCATTCCAAAAGATCTGCCTTCATGCTTCTCGAATTTTCTGTTAAAGGTGGAATGTTCCTAATTTTTGTCATGTGAATTTTGCGCAGTCGTTTTTTCACGATTGCAGCATCACTCATTATTCGAATTGTTTGGATGCACGACTCTTGTAATAATTCATTAATTTTTGTGTAGGCATTTCCCATCAAAATCATCAACAATCGTTTCCATGGAAATTCATCGTCATAAATATTTCTGTATGTCAAATAATTCCTAAATGCCATAATGGCATATGTTTTGGTTTTATCGTCACTAGTTTCAATCAGAATCCTTAACAATATGTTTTCAATTTTCATTTCAATTGCATGATGCTTACAGTCATCACAATCAAGTATCAATGCTAAACATTTAAGGGCTTTCGACTTTGATGTGTTGTTGATCAATGAATTGAGAATATCCAGTTTTGCAAACATTTCTGGCTTCGATGCGATAAAATTTGACAGAACGGAAAAGAATTTCTCATTTGATGTGCTGACAATGATGTTTTGAAGCTCAACGGTGAAATTATTTGATTGTAAAAGGATTTTTAAGGCTGCGGAAATATCAAATGTTCAATTTACAGAATAAAAAGCTTGAAATTCTTTTGTCTTTACCAGATGGATTTTCACTGAGTGTTTGTAGAATTTCCATGCACGTGTCTTCTGAGCCAACTCGTGCATTCACGATATCCAAAACTTTTTCCATTAATTCATCATTTGCTGCTATTAATTGTGACCCAAAAAAGTTTTTAGCTATAAGATTTAGGATATTTAAAGCCAATGAAAAAGTTTTTGAATTTGGACAAGATTTATGGATTAATTGGCACAATTTTCTGAGAATGCCAGCTTCCATTCCACGATATGCAAATAATTTATTCTTCATTTCATTCTCCAACTTTTCTAAAGCAAACTCGACAGCTTCTGCATTATTGCTGTCGAGATCTTTGATCTGTAAATGTGATTTTGAGTAATTAAGAAGTTCTTGTCAAGAATTAATAATAGGAAGTAATGCTGATGATGTCTTGTATGTAATTAAAGTTTTGGAATGTCAAATACATCATCATATGTTAAATCAATGATAATCTGTAGCTTTAAATTGCCTTTTTTGAAGAATACGAATTCAGTGAGGTGTGGCAGGCTACAAGATTTTGATGGGTGAAGATCATCTGGCAGACGGAATTCCTAGGAAGTTTTCTTAGGAATTCCTAGAAAGTTTTCTGCAATTTCCTTAAAAAAATTCCTTAGACTTCCTATCATTATGACCCAACACATATCTGTTTTAAGTACAGATTAGCGATTTCCTAAACAATACATATCTCAATTTACAGCTGCATGTCATATAGACCCAAATACTTACACCTGTGTTATGAAGCTGTAAATTAGTACTAAATAGTACAGAATTCCATTAAATCTTAATTTGTTTGGATAGAAACTTTTTGCGATATAGTCAATTATATTCTGACAAAAACAAATAACATACTCGCTTTTGTATAGAAGATATTTTTAAAAATGATATAAAAAATCGTTCAGCCATCGGCTTTTTTGGGTTGAATTTTCTAGTATTTCTCAAAATTTTTGGGATTTCTTTAGTACAGCCTGAAATATTCTAGGTAATCCTAAGAAATCCTGATAAATCCTAGAAAATATAAGTAATCCTAGTAATATCCTAGGATTTTGGGGAAATCCCCTCAAGAACTTTCTGTAATATCCTAGGAAATCATAGTAAACATAAACATTTTATAATTATTCTAACGAGGGTTCTAGGAATGACTAGGATTTTCTAGTATTTCCTAGTATTACTAGGAAGTTTCTAGGAATTTCTACAACTTCCTAATTTTCTTAGGAATTTTCAAAAAATATTTTTGCGAATCGCAATTATTACAAAAAAAATATATCTCTTAGGAATTTCTAAAAAAACTAGGAGTTCCTAGATTTACTAGGAATTACTTCTGAAAAATAAGGAAGTTTGGGCCATAATGATAGGAAGTCTAAGGATGTTTTTTAAGGAAATCGCAGAAAAATTTCTAGGAATTCCGTCTGCCAGATGACCTGAAGCGATTTTGATTAATGTGTCAATTTATCTAAGTCTATATCCTGCTCTTATCCCTCAAACCTTAACATCCCTAAACTTACATAAAATGTGTTCCTTAGATATTCAGCTTTCCTGGAACCTTACAAAACCACATTTTATGCAACGAGGAGTAAAACATCAAAAGAAGCAACAAAAGTCAACAACAGCAAAAGCACGTTTGATTCACAAAAAGAATCCCACAAAGTCTCACCAGATTCTCGAATCCAATTGTCCCATATCCACGTGTCAGCTTTGTGTCTTGATTTTTCTTAAATATTTCAATTGTTGCCATTTGTTGACTTTTTTCGGGTTTCGGAACTTGGTCAAAGAAAATTTTATTTACACAATTGTCAAAAATCTTTTGCTTTATATTACAGTATGGCTGAATTGAAATGTGATGTTGATTGTTCTTACTGAACATTTTGATTTTATACAAAAAAAGTGATGAATGATTAATTTAAATAAAGCCTGCTTCGATCACAACCTTTTTTACAAAGTATTTTAAAGAGAATCTCTAATGCCATTTTAAAAAATTAAACGTTATCACGTGCTCTGAATGTTCAGCTTCTCCTCCTCAATCTCTTTTTCTATCGGCCTCTCTTTCATTTCATTGTTGCTCTCTTTTACAGTCGTTCGTATCTCATGTGTTGATGTAGGTCTTAATAAAATGTGAGCAATGCATGTGACAAATGCGAGACATGCATAAATCTGAAAGCTCTTTTTTCCACCGACAGTTTGAAAAAGAAATCCACCGAAAAATGATCCGATTGCAAAACCTAATCCATCATCCATTCCTGCAACAATGCCTTGGACAGTTGCACTTGTTCCAGGAGGTGCTATTACGGCAGCATATGCTGAAAAATTGGAAATAAATTATTAAAATCTTTTTGTTATGAATACATTATGGGGGGTGTTCATATATGATGTCTTTTGGTTTATTGTAGCTCTAACCTCCTTTTCAAGTAGACATCAGAGTTGGTTAATCAATAAAAGCATTGCTTAAACTCCCCTTAAATATTAGACATCATATATAAACAAACCCCACCTTCAGAACAGCAAACATACCAACAATGCACGTGTAGCTCAAAGCATATGTGCAGCCTTGCATGAGAATTTCAATTATCACGAGATGCCATGGACTTGAAATCAATGATATGAAAAATAATCGCAATGCATAACAAAAGAAGCAGAATGAAAGGCAATGGACATATCCAAGCTTCTTGATGATTTTTCCGGATACGAGGAAAAATAGGACTTCCCCAAAAAGGCACTCAACAGCGATTGTCATTCCCTCAATTAATTTAACATGCTGCTTTAATCCAACCTTTTCAGCTACGTCTTCAAGATGCCAAAACATATAGTAAAATATAAAGGAGTCAAAAATGCCTGCAATTGTGGCAAAGGCTATGAATATTGCTATTTTTCTGTGCCTTAATAATCTAGTTACGTCCTTAAAAATAGATTCAGATGAGTGAAGTTTTGGCATTTTAAGTTTAACAATGCTGAACATGTCAAGCAATCCAAATGCCAAAACAAGAAGTATAGCTGCTGTAAAGTCATTTCCATTGAGATCCATTGCATAACCAGCAATTAGTGATGTGATTGCAAATCCAATGCTTCCATAAATTCTTTGCTTACCGTACTTCATATGTCGACTCTCGCCAAGCACATCAAAGCATATGGCATCGCTAATGCTGTATTACATTGAACAGAAGTTTTAATCTTATTAAGTACCGAAATAATCTCTAATAATTACCTATTGCCAACATTAAATCCAATTGTTCCTAAATATGTGAGCGTAATAAAAGTCCAAAATGTCCAAGTTTTATAAAAACAAGACGGTGCCTCAATATCTTGTGTTGTGATGCAGTCAATTTGTGAATTTATAGCTAAATATCCAGTATCTTTATGGCATAGAAGCTTCTCTCCATGCAGCCGTGTTATTTTTAAATTAATGCTGTCAGATTTATTATATGAATTATTTTCAGGAAGTTGGCATACCACATTGTGGTAATTAAGGCACACATCGATATTTTGAGAATTCTGGAATAAGAAATAATTGATTAATTTTGAAAATGATCTCAGTTGGCATTGAAGATGCTATTCACATTAAACTCGTATTTGTTTATCAAATGGCTTTTGGATGTTCCATAAAAAGCATTTTAAGAATGTGCTAATTTAGTTAAGATTACGTAACTTAAAAGAGCCCGGGATAAACTCATTTATTGGCAGATGTTATTAAGCCATGAACAAGGTTTAAAAGAGTTTCTTTTAAATTAGTAATCCGGGATTTTTCTGTCTTGTTCTTAAAGCTGTAAATTTTTATGAATGTTGAATGATAGTTGTTTTGAGACCTTATTGAATGGAACAGTCAAGATTTTAAAGAAAAATTCCAATTTTTGATTATAAAACTTTTCAGGGCAAGAGTTCTGGGTTCAGCTTGTATACTTTTCAATAAGAGTTTCCATTTAATAGAATTTATAGAGCTAGTCATTAATATCATTGAATAATTCATGTCAATATCTAATTAATTCACTTTATCATTTAAAAATGTTAATATCACAGGTGTTAATAGTCGTCTAGTGATAATTAAGTTGCAATCAATATTGAATCGAATTGATTTCTAAATGATTCACATAATTGAGACATTAACATTTTATAATCAGTTCTAATTGTTTATGAATATTTTAATTAAATTTAAATTTTAAAGCATTTTAACATCTTCGATTTACAAAGTTGATCAAAAGCACGAGAATCAAATCTACTTGAAAGTCATTAGCAAACGACGACTGTTTGTTTCCAATGTTGTAACTTAAGCAAACAAAACTATGGAAAATCCCTATAAAACATAGGAAAGCAAGAGAATTTGAAAAGTCTGAGCTGATTTAAGCCTAATCTTATACAAGCAACAATAAATTGAAATCATTATATTGACATCATGATGTTGCTTTAAAGTAAAGGCTCATCATTGATTGATATAAAATTGGATATTCCCTAATACTAGTGAACTAGCTTTCGGTTTAAAAACCACTGAAATAAAACCCCGAATAGCACAAGTCGGATAATTGAATAAAAATCGAGCACCAAGCAGGCATGATTCTGATGGCATCAATTTAAATTCAGAACCATTCCAGAGTCACAACGGCTTGGTGCCAGATTTCTGATCGATTAACCAACTTGTGCTATTCAAGAATCTACTTAAAACCTTAAATCAAAAAAATACTTACAAGCTCATCACAACCTAAAATGTCAGTCACATTAAAACTATTTTGACTAGTTTGTTGTGGTAGAAATATATAACCAGCATATGACAAAGTCATGATTGCAACAAGTGATAAGAAAATTAATTTTCTAGCTTTCTGTTTGGGTTAAAAATGCAATAATTGATCAAGTAAAGTCACACTTATTTTAATTAACAACTTACAGAGAAATAGTCAGCTAGCATACCAACTAAAGGCTTGGCAAAGAAGTAAAGGAACGGAAGCATGGACAGAAAAAATCCCATAACTGTTGGAGACACACCCAGTTGCCTCCCAAACATGACCATTTGTGGTAAAATGGGTCCAAGACCTAGGATGAATTATTTTAAAGGACATTAAGTAGAATATTGAGATAGGATGTGCATAACTTACTTCCCATGAAGAAGAAATAATGCGCCTTAATCGGTAAGAGATCTTTGTCAATTTCTAGCTTCATTTTCAGGTTCTAAAAATAAATTTTAAACATTAGAAACACGTGACTTCCAAAACACACACACACGTAGGTAATTAATTATTTGCTAATTGAACTAGATTCCAGATTTGGCATTTGCCTTAGTTCTCAAAAATTTACATTTTCTCTTCTATATTACGTAGACTCGTCAATCCAGTTTTTTTTCAAAATCAAATGATTCTCAATATTTTTGTTTTGGGATTCACGCTTTACGTCATCTGTGTCTGCGAAAAAAATATAAGTTTCGCGAGAGAGAAGTTTCTTCAATATTTACATTCTCAGCTATCGAAACTTTAATGCTTTAGCTGAGAGAACCAAGGGTCAGCATTCAATATTCGAATATTAAACGTATCGGACGTACTCGAAAGATTTAAGCAATAATTATATACATTGTGATTTAATTAAGTATTATTATTCATACAGCTGATAAGTATTGACTGTGCTGAATTGATAAGAAACATTTTTTTTATAAACAAACGAAAGTATTAAAGCAGAAAACAATTAGTGATCTAGACAAGTTAATAAGCAATTTACGAAAGCTGTTAAGACACCGACAACAAATATGAAGTCAAGTGGATTACTTAATCTTCTTGTTTTCATTAATTTTTGTACATATGACATTTTAGCAAAAGATTCGTATTCAAAAGACACTGCAGCTGGTGATCTTAAAAATGAAAAATGTAAGTGAAACTTTTTTATGATGTATTTTTTTAAAGTTTATCAAGTTGTTTGTGGATGTAATTAATTTTATGGAAGATCATATTCCAAAATGTTGTGTTCCAATGACTTTATGAACATTTAATTATAAGTTTTACCAATTAAATCAAGCATCACTCAATTTCGTCCCGTCCTTTAAAGGTTGGTGACTGAAAGAATCCTTTGAAGGTGAACAACTAGAAAGACCGGTAAAGTAAGCTTGCTGAGATCATTCTGATATGTTATTAATATCACATGCGATGGATATTACTCTCAATTAAGCTTTTACCTTTTATGATTATATTTCTTTGTGTATTTTTGCTGATGAGTGGAATATTACTATTAATGGGGGTTAATCGAAAATGACGTTAATTAAAAAACAAGATTTTAAGACGTTGACTAGGTTTTATGTTATCTTAATCTATATACAGTAAATTACAAGTAAATGAGAGTGTTTAAAATTGAAATTTTTGGTAGACGTCATTTATGGACAGTATATTTTTAAAACCCGTGCTCCACATTTTTAAACGCCCATCTCTTTTAATAGCTAGCCGTCAATAGTTAATAAGTCATTTTCTTTTCAAAATGAAATAACGCTTTAATTCATTCAAATTATCTTCTTTAACACGAAAAGATATTCATTGAATAATTAGACGTCCACAACTTGCAATTACAAAGAAATGATCATTTGATGAAAATCTCAATAAATCTTAAGTTTCCAATAATTTTTGATGCAAGTTTGTCAAAAAGAATAAAGTGTGATTCCCAGTAAACTCAATTTCCATATGAATATGGTGTCATTTTTTACCAAACAATTGAATGTTCTTGAAATGCAATACCGGGAATTCCAGACGAACAGAACAAAGCAGAAACATGCAAAACGTTGCAGTGCATGATGAAGTTTTGGATTATGGAAAGGGGCCATTCACTTATTACGTAACGCTTTTAGGGGAGGGGGGGGGGATCTAAGATTTTGTTACGGTTCAAACAAGGAAATTTTTTTTTCATACAAATTTTGTTACGAGAGGGGGGGGGGGGGTCTAAGAAGTCATTTTTTCGCGTTACGTAATAAGTGAACAGCCCCAAAGCATATTAATTTAATAAATTGGGAATTTCTTGTGTTTAAACCTTTTGTACATGGGATTATTTACTTTATTGCCCATCATCAAAAATGTACGGGGATTAAATGATTAAGTCGCATTCAAATTATGTAACAGTGGAAGTTCTAATTATTCAAATGTTGACATTATTTATGAGCAAACCCTTGTTAAGATTCTTATTCTGAACAACATAAGTCAATCATCTTTGAATAGCCCATAGCAAATAGTTTTAAAAAGCACAGATACAACTTGAATTTGTTCCGAAGATTATAAAATAAGCTTAAAGTGTTGAATTTCAAGTTAACTCCATAATTGTAAGCAACAGAGATGCCAATAAATTTTTATTAGCAAAGAAGAAGTCAATAAAATTAATTTCAATAGTTTCTGTGAATTTCATGGAATGTAGACCATAATCCATTAGATTTATATTGCAAATAGAGCTTAAGAAATTAATATTTTTTGTGTCTTTAACATTGGAATCAATTGTCTCTGCCATTAATACTCTTTTGCTTTTTGACTCATTCTAAGAAGTGTGTAAAAGTAATTAATCCGCAAACCTTGATATTCTCAAAAGCTTCAAAACCGAAGAAAATTATACGTACTTTGGAATTCCCAACCAAGCTTAGATTACTCATCGATTTTATTTCTCTCATTTCAGTAAGAATGTGTATTGTTGAGAGTCGCGGTTCATTTCGCAGAACAGAGCAGCATTGTCCAATTATTGAGAATCAAACAAATATTGAATGTATTGTTGGAATTGACCGTCTTGATTGTGCTCGAAGAATAAGCAAAGGTTATGCACATTTTGGTGTCTTTTCGTCCGAGGATCTAGTCAGTGCACGATGGGCAACATTCCAAATTTTAGTAACAAATGAGCTTCGGTTTCATGCTGAAGAATTTGAGTACGATGTAGTCGTGGTGGTCGATAATGAAGCGAATATCAATTCAGCAGCAGATTTGAGAAGTGCACGTTTGTGTCATCCTGGCAAAGGTATCAATGATAATTGGAATGACATCATTTCTGACTACCTTGAATCAACAATGGTTGCTAGAGAATGTGAAGAGGATTTGACACTTGCTGAGTCAAGGATTAAAGCTAGTGCCAACTTTTTTGGACCAAGCTGTAAAGCTGGTCCATGGGTTAATGATGCACTTCAAGATAGCATTTTGAGTAAGTTACAATATCTTATTATTTCTTGATTTTATAAACTAATGCTTTAATTTTTTTAGAATCAAAATATCCATCACTTTGTTCCTTATGCTACGATAAATCAAAATGCGGCATTGGCGATAAGCATTGGGGAAGACGAGGAGCATTAGAATGTTTAATTGGAGGATCAGGACAAGCAGCATACGTGCGATTAGATGACGTCAAGAGTTTCTTCAATGGCAAAAATGCAGAAGCAGATCCAAACAACTATAGCTTCTTATGTCCCGATGGACATTTACAGCCTCTGACAAGTGAGAATCCATGTACTTGGATATCAAAACCATGGCCAGTAATAGCAGCTAAGAGAAGTCATGCAGAACAAGTTCAGGAAATTTTCAGAAAAATAGACACAACGTTACAATGGCAGCAATCAATGCTTTTACTGCTTGAATCTTATTACATAAATGTCACAAGCTTGGATGTTCCAATTCCAATCGACGACTACCTCGACAAAAGTACAGGATATCAAAGTGCACACAGTTTTCCTGCATGTTATCCACCAAGGCACATCGTATACTGCACAACTTCCATAATTGAGTTTGTAAAGTGTAGTTGGCTGCAAGAAGTTTCGACAGTTTATGGAATAGAACCAAATTTACAATGCATTCGCGGTGAAAGCCTTTACAGATGCCTAGATGATGTTAATAAAAATATCGCTGATGTTGTCATGGTCGATCAAGATGAAAGAGCTGACAGTGAGAGGAAATTCAATTTGATTCCTTTGCTGTCGGAGTTTTCATTCAATTTCGGAAATAATTATGTGACAGTTGCTGTTGTGAAGGAAAACTCTCCTATTAAAAATTTTGAAGGTAAGCGGCAGATACGTTTAGTGTACAACTGGACACTAGTACAACAGTGAATATGTGTACAACTGGACTTAAAATCACCAAAATCTAACCAATTTTTAACTTTTTATCAACAGATCTTAAATGGAAACGAGCATGCTTACCATCTTATGAAGGTGCAGCATTCTATTCAGTTATGGAAAATCTTCAAGAATTCCAATACATCAACAACAATTGCTCAAATGGTGTCATAGACTTCTTTGCATCAGAATCATGCTTTGGCTCAAGAAATTGTAAGAAGGAATATTCAGGAGATGAAGGAGCTTTGAAGTGTCTTGATCAAATGGGTGATGTTGCATTTGTAAACTTGGAATTGGTTAGGAATCTTACAGGTAAGAAGTCGATTAAATTAAAACAATTTAGGGACAAGGTTCTTGATCATTAAGAAGAAATTGAGGGGCCGTTCAATTATGACGTCAGAAATTAACGGTCATTTTTCAAAAACAAACAATGGATTTCCAGGAATTTCTATTGTTCTTTTCTGTCTGACCCCCCCCCCCCCCCCCCCCCCGGACGTCATAAGTAAACGGCTCCTAAAGGCTGGTTCTTAAAAATCTATAGTCTTAAAAATAATCTTTGGGTATCCCTGACCTACATTAACAACCTTATCAATGCCTTATTAAACAAACCTCAATAATCTTATCTTCATATACTTTCAGGTCCAAACCAAAAATACCGAGTAATCTGTGGCGCCAATTTCAAAAGAACTGAAATCTATCATAAAAGCTTAGACATTTGCTACTTAAGTTGGACATCAAAAGGTACACTCTTAACAAGTAAAACAAAGGATGAGTTAAGGAAAAATGAGATTATTAATACATTAAAATCAATGGACTACAACTTCGGTAAGCATAAATTCCGATCAGGAAACATTCCATTCACGATGTTTGGACCATTTGACAAAAAGGAAAATGTATTATTTAAGGACGCGACTGATGGATTTAGAACTCCAAAAGAGATTAAGAATTACGTAAAGTTTGATAAGAATTTAGAGAAATTTTATAGTAAGTTACAGTCAGATGATTTAAAGTATTGCTCTCATGCTAGTTCATTATTTAAGTTTAATTATACACTCGCGTTTCTAATGTTCATCATATTCAAATTTTTATAAGCAATAAATCAAAATGAAATAATAATAACGGTAAATTTAAATTCAAAATATTTTACTACCCCGTTCAGTTGCAATTGCGTTTCACCCCTTGTTTATTATTTCTCAAATGTAAAACTTTCTTTTGCAATTGGAATTTATTATCAATTCATTAAAGCTGGCTTTTCAGATTTCACAATGTTACGAACCTCGAAAGTAAGTACTCGAGACTTCGTTGCACACTATGCACTATGTAAACACACAATTGATCAACATTAAATGCACGAAAAAGTAATTTATAATTTTTTTCACAGCACAGAGAACATTTTTTGTGAATTATTAATTTTCCACTGGTCGTTGTGTCTTCGCACTATTCCAACTAAGTATGAACTTGAAATATTTTCATTATTTTTTTTTCTATTTTAAAAAACTTTTTTTTTCACTTCTTTCTGTATTATATCTCATATCTTATTCACTGCAAAATGAACTTTTATGATTTTATAGAAATTGCTGCATGTCAATAAGATAGCTAAATTTACTTACTTTTGTGATCTTTTTGTAGCAATCGACAAAACCTGTTTCCACAAAAGCTACTTCAAGTGTACTAAATAATGAGAAACAAAAGCAAAGTGTTACTGCTAAAAAGTCTAATGTAACTACTGATAAAAATACAGACAAGAAATCAATAACGAAAAAGTCTGATAATCATGCAGCCGGATTAACAAATAAAAGTCTTGTCACTAAACACGTGACGAAATCCAAAGGTGCATTATCAGTCACAAATGCAGTAAAGCCACCCGTAAACAAAAAGAATGTTATGAATACAATCCATAATGTTACAGTTTCATCGCCACCAACATCAGCTGGCAAAGAAAGGTCAACGTCTCTTATAAACATAAGAAATGAAAATGAAAACAGTGACGATGCATTATCACAAAAACATTTAAAACATTCAAGGTCGCGTACTCGGACGATAGCTCCCGAAGAATCGATTTTATTTCAACGAAATTTAATGAGTTCAAAATCAGTCGATGATGAGAAACCGAAGATTGAGCGTAAAAATCCAGTTGCGTATGAGATAAATTTTGAGGAAGAGAAAAAGAATGCAAAGAAGGTTTTGAAAAAACAGGAGTCTAGTGAAGTTGTCAAGAAGCCACTCGAGAAGCAAAAGTCATTCATTAAAAATGATAAAGTCCTCCAAAGACAAAAGTCTCAGGACATAAAGCTGAAAAGACAGAAAACAGAAATTAAAGAGCCGTCAATAGAAAAAGAAGTGGAACAAGTAGCAAAACCTGAGGAGGATGAAGACAATTATGAAAGTGATTTTGAGTCATACGAAAGTGACTTTGAGGCAGAACCATCTGATAATACAGAAGTAGAAGAATCTACAGAAGACAACGACACTAGCAATGAGGATGATGATGAGATTGCAGATGTTGAGAAAATAGTCACTGATCGTGTTGATTCAGGAAGTTTTGATATGTCAGTAAAGAAGTCAGTAACGCCATCGTTAAATCAGTATGACAGCATAGAAGATACTGTGAATTCACATGACAGTGGAATTTCTTATGACGATTTGCAAGCTTTGAATAAGCGACTTGTGAGTCCAAAGGTCATTGCCTTTTATAAAAGAGGAGAGGAACTGATGAAGAAAATTACTTTCGACAGTATCAGTTTCGATGTTTTCGAGCAAAAGCCAATTCCTTATGAAGTGTTTATGTCAATTTATGGCCAGAGAGGAATGATACAAGCTAGTACTCAATGTGAATCTCTTTGCGTAAATGAGGAGTGTCAAACGGAAGTAATAAGTAAGATCAATTCATGGACTCAATATCCATGCAAATTTACAAGAATTGGACTTGAGAATATCAATTCTAAGCAGTACAATGAGGAGAAATTAGGAGTTGGAGATGAAACTTTCGACTATATTGAGAAGGATCAAACTGATAGTATTGAGCACATTGATATAAGCATTGAGGCTATCAATAACTTCTCAGATGAAAATAATTTATTTGTGCTTAATCAGCAGTCAGGTTATGCCGCTTCTGACCTTCGGAATTTCGTTCAAAATACTTCAATCTCAATTTTCAATATTTTAGAAGGAAAGTCAAACAAGTCTCGCGAGTTTGCATCCTCAAAGATTCCAATTTGTTCGGGATATTTTGAAATTAAAATCAATGACATTGAACTTTTAAGCAACACAAGCATTACAAAAGTGTGGACAAATGTGTGCCTTAATAACTTTTTGATAACAGTCCATAAAGTGACAAATACGAATCAAAATTTAATGTGCCTTTGGAACATTCTACACACATCACGTCCTATGAAGATTTTCAATTCGTGGAGTGACATAAAATGTTTAGAAATTCATCCGCATCAACGTGATTACATTATCGGTGGATGTAGTGACGGAACAATTTGTTTATGGAGCATAAAAGAAAGTTCTGATGACTTGACAACATTTAGCCTTATCCAGCCTAGTGAAATAATATCATTAAATCAAATACACAATGATTTTGCACTTGATAATGTTACGGCACTCAAAAGCTTACCATACCGGCCATATAAGAATTCAATGTCTATGTTTACACAGTCACAATCTTCACAATTTTGTTCACTCCACGAAAATGGATTTCTCAGTATATGGACTTTATTACAGCTAGACAATTTCGATGATGATATAAGAAAACTAGAAATGGATTTTACTTACAAAGGATGCAATGTCAAGTTAAGTAAAAACTTGTCGATCGACATTAATCAATTTCTAAGAACTGATAGCAATGAAAATGAGAAAAATGCTCGTAAGAAGTCTGCATTTGAAAAGACCCGATATTATTTTGAAAATGACTTATTTAGTGACAAAGTGTTGAAGGAACTACAAGAAATTGACACTGATCGACTACAAAGGAGCAAGAACTTTATGTACCGTAATGAAATGTTTACGGCAACGAGTTTTGATTTGAATTATAATGAATTATTTATTTCGTCTGACACAAATTTCATTGTTGCCATGTCTAGACTTTGTTTGGGTGATAAAGCAAGGAAAATTATCACAAATGACTCAAACTTTATCTCACCTTCAACTATTAAAACTCATCCAATTGATAAGAATATTTTGGCAATCGGACAGACGAACGGAAACGTCAAATTTATTAAAACTAGTGACGATTTCAGTTTGAGCAGTTCCAACAAACGTAAACAACTGAAACGATCGAATGCAGCATTCAGCAATGATGAGAATGTTTTAGCCAAATCGTGTGCATTCCAAAACATTGTCGAACGTGAGAAGAAACTTTATGAGGAAACGCAAGCTTTGAATGACTTAGAATCAGACAATTTAAAAGCATTATTGCTCAATGAATCGCCTTTGTCTTCTCATTTTGAGGAGAATGAAGGAAATTACAAAAATAATTTAAAAATTACGTTTGATAAAAATTTATTCAACTCGTTTGATGTCTCTATGGGAACTGTGAGGCTAATTGAATTCAATAGGACTGGAAGGTTAATGTTTGTGCTGATTAATAAGGATTTGAAGATTTTTGACTGCTGGAAGAATGTCGAGATTCAACATTTAGATAGTCGAGGGATAATTGATGTTAAATCCATTCAAGGAAGTGATGGAAATGAATATATGGTAAGCGTTTTATGGAACTTAGTAGATTTGATTTTTAAATATGCATTGAAATTCATTTACAGGTTCTTTTGACAGCTAAAAAGGAAGTTTTAGTCAACAAGTTAAAGTTTTAATTTTATTTAATTTCTAGGCCAATTCAACTTTTCTAGTTATAAATTTAAAGATCTCAAATTGAAATTATTTGCTTACGCTAAGGAATTAATTAAACAATTTTAACAATTATTGAATTTCTTAATTTTGTTTTTAAATTAAACTAGCATCTGCACAACTGAGCTTGTCAGCTTCAAAGGATGAATTCAAAGAAGCTGATATTACAAAAATTCATTATCTTAAAAATTAAGTAATCTACAATTATTCTTTAAAAAGCTTATATTTTTTCAAACTAGTCAATTGATCGTACAACAAGAGTTAAAATTTATTTATTGAAATAACAAAGTTTGTGTTTTAAAAAATTGAAATAAAGTTGTGAAAAGTTTAAAAATGATAAATCTTTGGTATTTGCTGTTTTTTGTAACCCTCAATTTTTGCTAGATTTTCATTAAAAAGCTGTTAATTTTGAACGCAAGGTAACAAAGCAACATCACGTCACCTCCTTTGACGAACCTAATAGATTAAAAATATCACCAAAAATTATAATTTGGAATAAACGATTTTTGTTTATTTATTAGCATCTCAATTTAGTTGAAGTAAGGTAAAATATTTATTTTCAGCAAACTATAATTTTGCTACAATCCTTAAATATTAAATGTGTGTCTTTGGTTGATTTCCGTTGATTTAAATTTAATATAAATGCTACTTAAATATTTTATAATCACAAAAAATCTTAAAATCTTTCAAAACTTTAACAAATTTTTACACTTTTACACTAGAACTCTAAAAACTATTTGCAAAAACTTGTCTTAAGAACTAGAAGAGATAACTGATGATAAGTTTGATGATACAATCGCACGATTGCATAGTATTTGCCTTAATGTACAAACTTCTTCTCGAAGTGCCAATGTTTGTGCCCTTAAAATGCTGTTTTCTTGTTCTAAGATGGCTGCACGAAGTGCAATCTGGTTGAAATATTAAATCGAAATAAGAGTTAAATTTAAAAAGGAACTATAAATTTTTCCTACCCGATCTTCTCTCATTTTCCGCGCATCTCGCGACTTTTTTGCAGCTTCATTATTCCTTTTCCTTCTCTCGTAATACTTTTCATCTTTCTGTTCATCAGGAATTGGTCTTTTCTCACCTCTGGGTCTTCTTAAGAATGAATTGCAGAATAATGATGATGGACTGTTTAATAAAACTGGTGAATTTAAAGAAGGTTCACTTTCACTTGATGGTTTTGAAGAGATTAATGAACTATTTCGTGAATATTCAGTTTCTTGACTTGATTTTGATTGCATTGAAATTTTTGCTAATGGTAAAATTGATTCGAGTGGCGGTAAAGGCTGAGTTGGAAAGGATCCAGGTGAAGGTAAGTTGTAGCATTGTGAAATGTCTTGATAAAAATTTAAATGAATTAATTATATAATTTTACTATTTGTTCAAAGCTTTTGATTTCTATTTTGTTATTGAAATTTTCTTAAAACTAATAATTGTAGCCTTAGAATCGTGTCTTTTAAACACGATAAATAGACTAACCTTACTCGATTAATAGATAATTCATTAGCTTTTAAGTGTTTATGACAAAAGCATTTATTGGTTGAGTAAGCATTATCAAATTCAATCATAGCAGGTTGTCAAAGTAAATGTTAATTTAAAGTTTAAATGTGGTTGAAAAATATTATTTTAAAGTTTATTGAAAATTCAGTATAAATGTTGAAGAAAAGTTTAAGGTAAGAATTTGATTATCTTAGGACTGAACAGAATTTATTATTTTTATTATTTTATTTGGTTTAATCTCTTTCCATTGAAAGAAAAAACCATTTCAAGTTTACTCATAAGAGCTATGTTTTTCTTGAAATGGCATTACAATCTTTGCATTAAACAAGCATAAACAATTTATTCGATTTGGATTTGATTCATATTCATTGATTTATAATACAATAGGGTCTCGACGTTTTTTTAAAGGATTTTTGCTTAACGGAAAAAAATAATTTGAATTTTTCACTAACACTATCATACAAAACATCAAAAATTAAATTCTCAAAATTCTTAATTATTCAATCATTAATCTCAAATATTATGATTTGAATAGGAAAAGTAGATTATGCATTAGCTGTTTCGACTATTTTAAGACCTTTCACATCATTATTGAGTGATATATTCGTGACTTTTCAAATTTCATTTTCGATTTTATTTATAAACAAATAAATTACAACCGAAAAAATTCAAAATAGTAAAAACCGTTAAAACTTTTTTAACTTAATTTTGTCCATTTGGGTATGTTAATGCAGCAATTTTAAATTTTTTATAAACTCAAAAAGAACAGAATTGAATTTCGGTTCTAAAAAAATACATTTGGAGATATATCAATAAACAATAATGAAGATATAGCAAAATTCCCAAAAATTGTACGTGAGTGACGCTTAGTTAAAGTGATTTCTTCGAGTAACTGTAAACATTTATGAAGTGAATTGTACAACAATAGATGGGGATTTTAATTCTCTTTTCAAAAAAGTAACTCTTAAATTTATCACTTTTAAGGATAAGGAGATAATCAAGAATAACAAAGCGTCACTCACGTACAATTTTTTTGTGACATGGCCCAATACTTATCAATATTTATCTTTGTGATCTTTTTATAAAAAATTAAACGAAAACCTTTAAAAGATTAACTTGCTACAAATTGAAGTTCTCTAAAGGATTTTTCCCGATTTTTCAAACATTGAAGAATATCGTAAAATTTTTTTGATTTTAAGTTGCGTAAATTCTAAATTAACGAATTAGAAAACTCAGAAGATTGTGTTGGTAAATCTTTATTTTCAAATTTTGTTAATTGTTTAAAATTATTTTCAAATTAAGATAATTTTTTACCTTCACAATGATTTTCATTTGGTTGAAATTTTAAAAAATTGTTTTTTTTTTAAATTTCAAGATTTCTTAAATTATGAAAATGGATGAAAATAAATGTTTCAAAATGTTTATTTTTTCATTCCTTATAGTTTTTAACTCGACACTTATTTTTCAACTTTTTTCAATTAAATGTTAAATTAATAAGTTCACAATTTTCAAAAAAAACTTTAAATTTTTAAAAATTCTCTTCACCTGTTGGCATTAACCGATTTCTAATAAAATGAAGTGCAGAGAATGAAAACGGATCAATTTGGTGTCCAGCAGTTCCATTTTCGCTAATCCTTTTTGCATTTTCACTATCACTATGATTCAATGTTGAATGACTTATTTTATCACTAAAAATCATTATTTCACTTTCCTTTAACAAATTTTCTTGTTTTTAACCACCCTTCCACTTTGACGATCAACAATCGACTGACAAAAGTCGATCAAAAGTTTAAGTTATTTAAAGTTGCTGTAAGCACTTAGTTTTTCCGAAAAAAAAAACTATATCAAAATTCAAATGGAAAAGTTTTATTTTTTTTCCTTTATTTTGCCGCGCGTTTGCTGAGCATGACAATTGTGTGTATGTGTACGAAAGAGAAAATTGTTTAAGCCAATGATAGCGTTTGATTTTCGTAATGAAATCCTGACACACATGCATAAGGACATTAATAATTATTATATAAATTGTTGGATATTACAATGTACATGTACAATAGTATAAAAATTGTTTTGATGAATGGATGGAGGCACACGTTTGATGTTCTACACACAAAACACATATGGTGTAGCTCTATGGCTGATAATGATAGCATGTCACGCATACACGAAGAACCAATTACGAAAGTTTTTCTCGCTACAACTTTTCTTTCTGTTCCTACATTTTGTAATCGCTTGTAATATGGGGAATATTTTCAGATCCCCAACAACATGGATGACTTTAGTTTGTGGAAAATTGTTTCATACGTAACTCCACCTCATTATCTGTAATTCTTGTTTGGAAATTTTTTCCACTTATGATGTAATTGTGGAGCTTTTAAGGCTTTTTTGAAAAATTTATCACTTTTAAGTTTTTTAAAGAGAATTTTAAGAGACTTTTGTAAAACTTAAAACTTAATGATCTTGTCATAATGATTTCTAGGCAATGAACTTATTTGATAAGATGCTTATGAATATTTTATTTGAAAAGGCACGTGTAAGTAATAGCTTGTCTTATTATGTAGATTTATGATATATTTAATGTTAACCAAGTTCTATTTTTGAAGAAAAATTTGTTAATCATTTATCCTGAACTTGTATGAAATGTAAGATAAGTTTGTAAGTCAAGGAGCTTTAATCAGTCAAATTGAATTCTTTCGTTTGAAGTTTTCAATGAGTAAGCTTTGGTTTTTTTACTTTTAAGTTTAACCAATTTAATTTGACATAAAATGAGATTTCTTGAAGTTTTAAATCTTTGAATCCATCATTCTTTGAAGTAAACACACCTTGTTCTAATGTCACGTAAGTCACAAATATTTTGAATTCTCTTTTAAAATGATTAATTAAGACTGAATGAATTTTCAAAACAAAAGTTTTTTTGTTAAATCTGAACTTAGATTGACAATATTAAGGATTAGTCCAACTTAAATAAACGTTCCAAACGTAAATCACCTTTTACCTTTTTTCTGACGATTGCAAGGATTCTGAAGATACTGAAAGATATCAAAATCAGTATTTCTGTTTGTTTTTGAGATTGCATTCCTTGTTTATCAATGTATAGCGTCCAACCAATTTCATGATCTTCATCTACATCTCTAGAATTGGTTTAGATAACTTTATAAACGATTAGGATATTTAATATTATGTATACTGATCTGATTTAGAACACAAGAAATGATAGGAAACTGATCAAAAGTTTGTTGATCTGTTCGGCAACATTGATAAAAAGCTAATCCTTAAACAATCTTAATTTAAGTCTGATCTGTTCTCAACTATTGTAAAACCTTAGAAGATTCCAAAATTATAGCAATACCAAGTCTGATCTGTTCTCAACTATTGTAAAACCTTAGAAGATTCCAAAATTATAGCAATACCATGTCTTTTATGTTTATTTTTAAACAAAATCAATTCTGAACATAAGCATCATAACTCAATAAAATAAAGTAAGGCAATCATTTATTGATGGGAAAAGTTTTTCTATAACAAATTAAAAGCCAAAGCCATTTCATTTACATCAACAATATTTTATGACACATCAAATATATCTTTGGTTCATATGTTCGTTAGGAACGAAATGTATAAAGTTAAAAAAAGAATGTTAAAAAAATCGAAATTAGCCTTTATGGCTTTATGCTCACAAGTAACGCAATCATAATCATATTTTACATTTTTTATTCATAATATTTTGAGGAAAAATTGCTGTTTGATGCACGACATTAGCATTAATATAGTTCCATATATGTAAAAAGTAGTAACATTTCTTCACAACTCACATAATTCTTACAGTGAGCCGCAGTGAACTCACTTGCTGATTATGATGAGAATTTTACCATGTGGCATCATCATCATGCAGTGGTAATATGTTATTTTTTTACAGGTTGCTTATACATTATAGAATTCTTTATGGCTGTTGTGTTTTCAAATGTTTGTGTCGTTTTTTAATAAACACAGTATAACACGAGTATGTGATTGAGACTTTATGTGTATTGTTAATGATAGTGATGAGACAATGTATGGATTAACATTAACAAACAGCGAATAAAGGAAGCTACCTTAGATTTTATAGATTTTTCCATGTTTAAAAAATTCAATATTTAACCTCAAAATTAAGGGTTAATAGGAGAGGGAAAAAGATCAATTGCTTAACGCCTGAGCAACCCTTTAACCCTCAACCTCGTTTGTAATTGTTGCCTGCCAACAAGTATTAAAATGATAGAAAGTTTATCTTACTTCAATGCTGAATGAGGCGCATTTTAAAATAACATTTTACGTTTTATCACATCTGTGGAAGTGCATTATTGGTCGTCATATTTAGAAATAGTATTCAAGGAGATGAGTCAAAATGACATTCGATTAGATCTTCCCCACATTACAACCTTTTAGATCAACATTACTGAATAACCGACAATGTGTCAACACAACACAGAAAATCAAGCTTAAAAAATCCTTTCATACATGCGATCATCAATAATTAATAACTTTAATTGTTACATACAACCACGAGCACTGTCATTACGACTAGATTTAAATAGCTGCGGAATTTCTCCTCGATTAAATTGATTTAATGTATAGCTGAAATAATGTAAATTATTAAAGGTGATTAAATGATGACACATGGCACTAATGAAAGAGGGACTAGCATTAATTCCTTTAAGATATTCTGATATGAATAAATTAGAATATATAATGTTGAGCTATATGGTTTTTTTGGATCGTAGTAAATATTTCACAATCGATTTGAATATCTTGTATAATTTTGTTTACGTCTTCTTCTTAGTCATCGTCGATCAATAGCGTGCTTTAAATTCCTAATTAATTAATCTGATCATCTTTCAAAATTAATTAATTGTTTTCAAGACCAATTACATGCTTAAGCTTAATGATCATGTTAACATCCTTCAAATAATTAAAAACCATTTAAGAAACCGAAAAATATGATTGGTATTATCAATGACTACACTTTCCAAAATATCAACAAGTATCAATTAACATCTAGAACAGGGAAATAAAAATAAAATAAGTTAGGTAAATATGCAGAAATGTGCAGAATAAGCCAGTAAATTTATTTGATCATCAATATTCAGTGTCACAAGAATGTTTTGTTAAATTAAAGAACCTGTTTTGTTTTGGCTTCATAAACGTATTAAAGATGAATCAGAGATTAATTCTAAAAATAGCTGTTAGAACTTTTGATGATTATTTCTCATCGTAGTCATCGTCCTTCGCGCTTTCTTTTGGATGATCATCATGTTCTGGTTTTTCCGACTCGTCTACTTGTTCTTCTGGTTTTTCATCATCTTCTGTCTGTATATCATCACTAGCTGGTGTGTCGTTTTCAGTTTTAATCTCGTCCTCGACTTTTAAATTATCTGTTTTGACCTCTTCAACTACTTCCGCTACTGGTTTGGCGACATCTTCTGCCTTTGATTTAACTTCAACCTTAGGAATGTCAATTTTACGACTTGCTTGTATTCTTGCTTGTCTTTGATTTTCTTCAATTCTATTCTCTTCATATGATTTGCTTTCATCTACTGCTAATTGGAATCTTCTTTTGTTTTCTGCATGATTCTGTGGCTTTCTTGTTGGTGCTGGTCTTATTTTGAGCTCATTTTCATTGAATGGAACATTGACTGATATTCTGTGTCCTCTAGCATCGGAAATGTAATAGATTGTTTGCATTTCACCACCTTCGAGTTCTATTTTGTAGGATCCTGGTCAAATTAAGAGATTTAAATTGTTCTGGTTATTTTAGATTCAATAACTGATGATTAATGTCTTCAATAGTTTAATTAAATTATATCCGAATAGTGCAGATACTCGATCAAACCAAGCTTTTTAAGTACATTCTAGATCGCACTACAAAAATTCTTCTTTTCCAACTTAACAAAACCATTAAGGTTTACCCGACTAGATACACAAACTTTCACTTTTCATACCTTTTACGGCAATTCCAGTGTCCAAATCATCGTAATGAATTTTTTCCTCCCTCATTTGTCCATCACTAAGCTCATACCTTGATAAAGAACAATTTCATGAGTTTCAAAAAAATTAAATCATCTAAAAATTAAGGAAAACTCACTTAAATTCAAATGCTTCCTCCCCACGACTTTGATAGTAATCTAATAATTGCGTATTTTCATCTGCATCAATTGTTTCAATCTGTTCATTTTCTACAGAGTCAATAGGTGCAGCTATTGATACTTTAGTAAAATATAACAAAGCTATTATTACAAATTTAAGAGACATCTTTAACCGTCGAAAGCTGCGATCGTACTCAAGAGGGAAGCGAAAAATGTTTACCAGTTTATTGGATTATCTAATGTATGCAAATGTTCATGACTTTTTATTATCATAACCGAAGAGTTTGACTCGCGCGTCTTCTGTGGTCAAGGACAACAAGATTCGCAAAATTCTCTTTCATTCTTTTACGAAAAAATAAAAAACTTTTTTAATTGACTTGTCGAACCGCTAGCGATATTGCATCTTGAATCGGGGAGATGTGTGTGAATGATAATGAATCGTATATTTTAGTGTGGATGACGTTAATGCCCTTGAAAACGAAGAATTTTGGACAATTTTAAATTTTGTGTAAGTATCAAATCTTAAAGATTAAACATCTTAGAATGAATGAAGCATTTGACGATTCTAAACTGCATTCTACAGCATTTAAATATTGATATGCTATAAAATTAAGTTTTGATAAACAATTTTCCATTAATATGTAAATTTTTAATAACTTTGCTCTTCTAATTCACAAACAACAGTAGAAATTATCGATTTTTAAGCATAAATCAATTAGTCCACACCTGCTCTTTTCATTATTTTATCAATACTGAATCTGATCATTAAACTCGGCAATGTTTTACTCATTCTTTTCAATTAAAGTGATTTTACATTACTCAACTCTTGCGTTTTTTTATTGTTTTAGTTTTTAATGTAAAGGAAGGAAGGAAAAAAGGTTTAAACACCTGAAAATTCCCATAATTATTTTTAATGAAAATTACTTGATGCATTCAACGGAAAGGCTTTAAATTTGATGATTGCAATGTGTAAGTGCGTGATTTTATTGTGCTGATAGGTTAGGGATGTTTTGATTGTTTGATCTTATTGATTTTCAATCTTATACCTACTCCAAAAATATCGCGTAAGCTCATCATAGAAAATCTAATACCATCGTTAACACTGATGATTATCTTGGTGCTTTACCGTCGGTCACGTTTTTCCATTTATCACTTTCGACCTAATCTACGCATTTGACCCTTTCTAAATTTTGTGTATATGACATTTATTAATTATTCATGAATCATTATTACGAATCCTTTATAATATTTGGGTAGAGAATTGATAGTATTAATATTTGTTCAATTGTATAATTTCCGATGTAATTATCCTCCTCCTTTGACACCACATATATCACTTTACTGGACGACAAAAAAGAATTGTAATCAATCAAATCTGTTTTGCGTTCTTATTATTATTTGTTTTAGTTTAGTTTACCTTAATATGCTGTAATTTTATATTCATTTGATATCATTTTTATTGATTTTAAGACAGATGATCTTGATGACAGTTGATTAAAAACCGTTAATTTTCTACAATTCAAATCTAAATTTTTATAATTATTCAACGGTTTTTTTGAAATTTAAAATATAACGTTTTTCAAAAATTTGAACATAATCTGTAAATTAAAGTTTTTGAAAGCTGTTTACTTTTGAATTTTTGAAAGCCGTTCAGTCATTATTTTGAGAATAGAACGAAATTAAGAATTTTTCACCTGAAATTCATGAACTATAGTTTGTACCTACAACTTTACATGCTTAGTAAAACTGAGTAAAACTTCATCCATGAAGCAAAAAGGACTTGTAAATATTAAAAACACAATTGTCTAGATCCAATTTTTAATCGATTTTTATTCGTTCTATATTAAGTGAACTTACTTCTCTTGAATCACCAAGACATAACTTTTAAATTTTTCGAAATGTAAGCGGTATTTAATGGATTTTTGTTGAAATTTCATTGATTTTTAAAGTATCATCAAGAGCTGTATGCTTTGCAAACGTTGAAGAATTTGGAAAGTCTTGTTTAATGGTATTTGTAGTTTCTGTGAGCCTCTATAAGATACAGGAAGGAAAAAAAAAATAAACATTGAAAGTGTCTGCTGGATGTTTCAATGAAAATTGTCACTTACTCATCTTTCCGTAATTAATGGCATAGAAGAAAATCATAGATCCAACAACAAGTTGGAAATATGGAGCCATTGTACTGCGTTTTGGCTGCATATACTTGTGTTGCCATCTCCACCATGCTCGTGAGCAAGCAGCAGCAACAGCACTTGGTGATTTATTACGTCTTCCGAACCATGATCCTAATTCGCTAACTTTGACCTGGCTCAATGGAGTGTCAGCTAAAACAGATACGTTAATTAAGCATCAATAATGAAAATACAGAAAATGTGTATTGCATAATAGCAAAATTTCAAAAAATCAATTTTAATCGATTAATCAGATACTTACGTTTGCCATAGAAGCGTGCTGGATCATAAACACCATGAACCTTTGGATTATATTCTGCTGGATAGTCTCCGAAACCCATTTTTGCAAGAAATTTAAGCAGAATTAAAGATTCTGACTTTTTTCACGCTGAACTTTACGGCTGCACTTCTCAAGGGTAGGAAATTTCTTTTATCTTTTAAAAATTCAAATTTCAAACGAACGTTATGCTTAGCAATGCATAAAACGTTTGATAATTTCGTAATTGATTGCTACAGAATATTTATTGCTATTTTATTAGTATAAGGCAGTAATATTGGGGGACAGTCGTGTTTTAAGCGTGCAAAAAATAATTTTTATTTTGATTGATTTAACGGTTGATTGCAATTTGAATTTTCTAAGAATTTAGTGACTCAGAAACAGAAATTCTCAAAAAAAAAAAATAATTCTCTTGTTAATTTAATTAATTCTCGTGTTTAAAAAACGAATTCAGAGAAATATAAACATTAATAATTGAGATAAAGGAACAACGATCATAATGAATCACAGTTTAAGAGGTAATAATGAACATTAATGATTGTAAACAAATAAAATTTAATTAACATGTGCTTTTCAAAGGTGAATCATCCCAAAGTCAAGTATCTGACAACGAGAGCTCATTTCTGATAAATGATCTATGTAATGTGATAGCAAATCAAGTGAAAAACAGTTCGGACATAGAAATCTTGTAAGTTGACATTTTTATGTGACTTTTTGTAGCAACAACAACAACTTATAGTAAAAATTTCATTTAAAGATCAATAAACAATGAGGAATTGATGTTTTCACTACAAGATTTAGACGATGAAACGCAGTTGTATTATGACATGGAGAAAGAACAGAATGTTACAATCGACGACTACGTAAAAATGAAATTTTTGGAACATCCATGTCTTAACGGTTCTTTCGTACAGTATAAAAACGAAAAGATGAAGAAAGTGAATGCACAGATTTACAAGAAGGTAGAAAATCCGGGCTATGGCCCAATCGTTGATACAGCAATGTTTAGAGTTGTCTATGAATATGCATTTTATCTGCAAAATTTGGAAGATCCACTTGACTCGAGCCGTTATAAGAACAATCTTGGTGTGATTGACATAAAGAAGGATATGTTCACGCTAGCCGGTATTCAAGATTGTATTACAACTATGAAATATAAGGAACAATCGCTATTTTGGATATCACATGAATTAATGTACGGAGCTTTGGGTGTCAAACCTCGTATTCCTGAAAAAGCTGACTTCATAGCTCGTATTAAAATATCAAAACTTTATGACAGCGAAGGCAATGAAGTAAAAATGAAAATAACAAAATTCGAAGAGACAATGCAACAAGCTGCAAAAGCATATTCATTGGCTAAAACTCATTTTAACAAAAGTGACTATACTGCTGCTATTTCTTTCTACCGTAAATGGATAAATATTCTAGAGAATACTCATTTGGCAAATGAGGAGCAAGAAAACGAAGCTAAAGAATGTTTGATTAAAATGTATATGAACATTTGCGTCTGTTACAATAAAATTGAGAACCCTCAAAGGACATGCTTGGCAATGCGTGAATTGGAAAAATTGACATCTATTGCAGGCAATGTTAAAGCATTGTACGCTAAAGGACGAGCATTGATGATGCTTCATCACGAGCCCGAAGCCCAAAAGTTCTTTGAAGCGGCATTAAAAATTGAGCCAAAGAACGAAAGACTTTTGAATAAGTTGGAGGAATTGAAGGCAATTATAGCATCAAAGAAGAGACACGCGACACAGATGCAATATTTAAAGGTCAACAATGAACGACAAACAGCTGAATCTCGCGAAAAACAGACACTTATTGACAAGTTTTTGAATAGTTTACCGGTAAGTTAATGGTTTGTTGCATTATTTATCATTTCCTGATTATTGATGATCTTTTTTCCAGGATTAAGTCACTGAAACTATTGCCATTTACTGCACTCAACTCGATAATTTTACTTTAAGATTATTTTTAAGTTTTTAAACCCCATGAGATATTTTTTGTATGATTAGAATTAGTAAATTGTAAAATGTCAAGATATGTGGATGTGGACGATTTAAAATCTTATCTTTTTTTGCAAAAAGCTACGGTCTGTGTCATAGACAGAAAAATCACATAACACCGGTTTTCTGCTGTGACGTTGTTTCAAAGAAATAAATAGAATCATTCAATTGTTTATTATCAAGTCAGGAAAGGAGCTAGGGACGGAAGGAGAGGGTAGACACTATCAAAATTTTAAAAAAATCATTAATTACAGTATAAATATATTGTTCAGAATTTTAACCATTTGATGGACCGCTAAATCGATAGCAACGAAGCTAATAAAAAAACCCAAGCTCTCTACAATGTCAGGCTCAAAATTTTTTGATGCGCCCCGACCGAACGAACAAAGTGCATTATTAAGCTACCTTTTCGAAACAAGTTTCAAGATGTGCCAAAAAATGATTTAAAAATTATATTATCAAACAACTTTTATGTATAATTTAAGATTCGAACCTTCGATTTGCTTATAAACGCTTACTTTGCAAATAATTAAGTACAACCATAGATTGGCAGAATTGAAAGTTAAAAAAGATTTAGCACATTGTGAGTTTTTGCGTTCTTACTAATTTACTCGGTTTGAAAATTCTCAGAACTTGACCAACATACATAATTGTTCAATTATCCAATTTTAAAACTTCATTCTTACGGGATACATTAAGAACACATTCACATATCTTAACATCGCTTAAAAGATAAACAAGCATTTTGAATGACCATAAAAATAATATAATTACATTAGTATTAATCATTCATCATGAACATAACTTGATCTCTTGAAATAAAACGCAGTGAAATAAATTTTTTAAGTTCTCATAAAAAGACATGATAGACACTTTTGTTACCCTTTTTGTATAAATGAACACATGTGCGAATTATAATCATACAAAGGAATAATTTTGTAGGTTTCACATTTTCATGACATGTGAAAATTCCATGAATACACATTTGACGTAAGTTGAAAGATTCAGTAATAATAAAGATTTACGAATGAGTGATTCACGAAACCAGTTCAACGCTCAAGACTAACAAGTAATTGTGCAAAAAGCAATTGCAATTTCCTACTTGATTACACTGAGTCACATTCAGGAACTGACACTAGAACAGCATTCATGTTTTGTCGAGAAATTGTTACTTCGTAGCACTTTTAGGGGAATAATCTGTTTTTTTCGTTACGTAACAAGTTAACAGCCCTAAGAGCAAATCAAATTTCCATTTTTGATCTTAAATATTCACATAATTAACGAGAAACAATTTGAAATAAGAACCTTTATTTATGCAAAATTTAAAAATGAGATGCTCACACAAGCTTACAACGATAATTACTTTAATCTTGTAAAAATATGTTATTTATAATTTCATTTAGAATCAGTCATATCTGTGGCTTCTATAAAGATCAAAATATTTTGAACAAACCACAATCATGCTTGACTAAAGTGAAATCTCTCTAGAATAATAATTTGTTGCTTCTTGTTCTTAAATTGCTTGACTTGTCAATAAGATTGTATACAACTGTTGTATGCAAGTTATTCTTTACAAGCTTGAATCTTTTAAAAATGAACATTCACTTTCAAGTCACTTGACTCAATTATTCTAAGCGTTTCTAAAAGCAGCTGTGCTGTACATAATATTTAAATACAAGTTTACAACTTGAAAGCAAAAGAAAGTAAAAGGACTTGCAGATTCGTTTGTGGACTACATCTCATGCTCCATCACAATGAAAAGGAACTATTACACAACGTAATTTATTGCGAAATTATAGGCACAAGCTGCTGTGTTTTACAATCTATAGAAATTCTCCTCCTATGCTAAGGACAAGGTCGAACATATTCGATCAATAAAATCACCCTTAAAATGTAAATCGAACGGGTGTCAAATTAAAAATTTGTTGTGCATGATACAAAGGACTTAATAGATTCTTATGATCATGCATTGGGTGCATGAACATCTGAAGCTCTTTAATGCTTTCTACGAAAAGGATATCACGCGAGAATTTAGTGAGAGAGAATTTAAAAAAAAAGTTTGTAGCAATTCTGCGCATGCGCGTCATGCGACTGTCTCTGTGGATAAATACAGTCAAATAATTCGAATGTCCTGCAACAAGGAGCTGGAAAACATTCACCATCACACTAAAAATGACTTTCAAATGTCTCCTGATCATTCATTCAACGCGTGATTCTGATTCTAGTAAGGTTCATGATTCCTTTCTTTGTCAGCTTAAGCTTTTAAAACTTTATGGAAAATTCTTGCCTGTGTTAGAAAGTTTTGAAAAGCAGTGGAAAAAAAATTTATTTATAACATTGAGGAACAGCACATTTTAAGAGAAGCAGATACAGTCGGCAGCAAATTAAAGTAATTCTAATTTTGTTGAAGTGAATAGGAAGCCATTAAGGATTTCTTATTGATTTTTAAAGTAAAATTTCTCCGAAGTGAAGTGTAATAATCTGTGAGTAAAATGAGTTTCGACAGTCTTGATGAATTCTGTACATGTGGCTAGTAAGTACAAAAAATGGCAATTATGTAATAAATTATGAAATTATTGGCATGAAAAGTTTTTTTGAGTGAAAAAATTCAAAATTTAACAAATTTGGAAAGTTATTGCCATTTTGCGTGCAATACATAATATGTAGCTTGATGTTGTGACTCATTTTATAACCTTTATTTCCCTCATTTAGGTATTTAATATAAATGATTACGTGAAATATGATTTTTTTTATCTTGTGTTGCTATTTCTGTCTCCATTCAGCAGGGGCAAACGGAGCGGAGGATTTTGTGTTTTCTTTTCTTTTTCTTTGTTCCTTTACATGCTTTTTTATATTTTCGCTGTGCCGTAATGCTTTTGTTGTTGTTTTTCGCATAAAAAATAAAATTGGAGGAAGGATGGCTATCGGCTTGGGTCTTCAGAAGATTTTTCCATTCTTTAAAGAACTATTAAGCTTAAAATGGCTTAATTTGTCCTGAATCTTCCTGAAAATTATCTAGTCATCCTCCTTGAATGATATTATGAAAGCCGTTTATGACAAAATGACGTCAAAATTATTGAATTTTTTTAAAAAAAATGTTCTAAGCATCACAACAAGTGGAAAGTTTTCTTTTTAAATTGGTACTTGATATAATCTGATTGATGTGACGAGAATAAATTATGCGAATTAAATAAAACGAGTGTCGCTAATGAAGCGTAGATTTATTGAAGTATGAATATTTTTTGAATCGTAAATTGAATAATATTATGAATTAAAAAGGTTAAAGAAGAGATCAATCAATTGAATGTGTATCTGATATTTTTGGGTTATTGAGGATTTAGGATAGTGAAAGATTCTGTTGAGTCTTGCAGTATGTGGAGGGTGTGTAGTAGTATTTAATCATCTACCAGAATGAGTTTGAATGAGAATGAATTTTTATAGCTTAAAAGAAAGGAGGAGCTGGCTTCATTACTTAAGAAACTTGATATTGAAATTTTTGTAGAAAACTTCTCAATAATAACTTGTCCCGAGCGGGAATCGAACCCGTGCTTTACGACTGACGATCGAATACTCTTACCTCTGAGCTATTGGGGGCTGCTAAGAGCTTAGCAGAATACCAACTTAAATTAGCTGCTACACCTTGAACTTTTCCTGATGTTCTTATCAAGACACTAACCTGTTCCCAAACTTGTCATCAGATCTCTTTTTTTAAAATTCACACCCACTTACGTCACATCATCCATTCGAAAATCATCCATCAAGAGTTCAATATTCTGTAGAGGACTGTCGACCGCATGCTTTTGTATTCTTTAAATAGCGCCTTTAAGTTAGCTCTTATTCATCATTAACTAGATCTCGAGAGCATGAGTGACATAACTAATAAATTACTGACTCTATTTAAGACTTTTATTGCTGTGCTCTCTTATCATTAGATTAGTGCGATAAATAATCAACATTTCAGAGACTTTGTGTGTGCACCTTGACTGATTATTAAAGTGTTTTATCAAAAGTAGCTTTTACCCCCAAGGTACACTTAAAAACACAATTTTCAGCTATCAAAACTTTTAAATTGGTTTGTTTTTGATCGGTCATGATTGCTTACGTATTATTTTGTAGTTCTGTCCCACATGAGCAAGATAACGAAAACTCAACAAAACAGCAAGTAAGCTCGATTCGAGCTCGATTTGAGAATTTTTTTTTATAAAAATAAATCACAGTGCTTTGCCGGTACATACATAATAATTATCAGTTCAATGGCATTTGTTTATGAAATACTTGACGAATATTTTTCTGCTTTGTCACCTCGAAGCAAAAAATTTTTACTTAAAAATATGTAAACACGAAAAAAAAGTTCATCGTAAGATTTAGAAAGAAAAATTGAGTCGCACACGAGCAAAACTTTTCGAGTAAAATGAGAAAAAATAATTTTTCATTTTAATTTTCAATTTATAAATAATTTTCAAAAAATGTTTAGCTTAAGTGAGAATGACCATGGATTCATCTGGTGGCAGCAGATGCGTATCTAGGGGCTTTATGAAATTTAAGTTTTAACCTCATTAAAAGCTCAGAGCCTGTATCATTATCCAAAAGTTTGCGTTCAAATTGAGCCTTAATTAACAAAATTGCTATACATGCCGCGACACAAAGTTTGAGAACCACTGGATTAGCCTGTCCAGAAATCACCGAGTAAGAAATTTTACCCAAGCTCCAGTTAATACCTTTTAAAGTAGGATCCAAATGAGACATAACCACCAAAATACACTCCCATCAAGCTGTATATCACACCTGACATTAATGAATGTAATAAACATTCGATCTCTGTCATAATATTCTCAGCAATTATTGCATCGTACAAAAAACATTCAATACCTTAAATCACTATATAATTTTCATTCTCATAATGGTTATTACTGAATGGGGCACTTGAGAAGTGCATGCTAATCTAAATGAAGGTTGAATGAGCAATTTCAGATGATTCGAGATGAAGTGTGGGGAGAATGAATGATTGGTCTATAAAGATACTTGTGTCCTTATTTTTTAACGATGGATTGTAAGGTGTATCGAATCTAGTTTAATTGGTTTTAACAGAATTTTGATAGCTGGTCGAACTCGGTTCATAAGCGTAGATTGATAACAATTAAGCTTTAAAATACCAAAAAGTACTTTCTTTTAAACAGGATTAATGACATTCATTATCTTTCTCATTCTGTATGCTACATTATTGTCAAAATTCCACCTTATTTGCTTCATTTTACTAGATTTACCTTTAGTCAATATTTCATTCTGGTCGGCAACCAAATCTTTTTCTACAGCACTAAAGAAAGAAGTGATTAAAAGTTTCAGCTCATGCGAAAATATTTGACATTCTTTTTAGTTTGGCAAATGAAATTTGTTATTAAACTTGACATAGAAATAAAAGTTTATCTAAGTCAATAATGACTACCTTTTGATGAAATTAATTGCTTTTTCCTTATGCCTGCCTTCACAAGAAGAAGGATAGTCAATTCCATTTAACTTTCAAACCTTTAACTTAAAGGCTAGTGTTGCTGAATATTAATCTTTTCGATCAATGATTTAGAATATTTTATGACAACAAAATATGTTTGATTGATAGATAATGACTTGATTCTGTAGCTACTATCGTTTTAGGACACGGCAGATGAGTTGGAACATTCACAAATGAAGTCTCATTTTAAATAAAGAATAATTAGAACTCCGCTGGATTGATTGACATTCCGGAACTTGGCATATCAAG